ACTCAGCTTCGTTTCGCTACCCAAAAGAACTTCTGCGAGTTATTTAGCTTTGACCTTCGCTCTCCCTTGTTTAACAGATTCTCTTGATAGTCTCACTCTCACAATACTAATAAGTAAAGCTGTTTAGTACCATGTTTTCCACATTTTAATAGACAAACTCCCAAAACGTAATTTAAGAAAAATCTATTTACACCCATTTTCGGACTTTAGTAGAAAAGAAATATTATGACTGTTTATGGCACCAGAAGTTGCACTAAAAAGCTTTTTTTACTAAATGACTAAAATGTTCCTACGACATGTATGTAACAATTCGGAAAGCTCTGATCAAGTGAGTACGTACAGTTCATGCTTTAGTGACGATCAAGATTTTGTTAGAGAAATACAACAGAGAAAAAGTTGTGCATAGCATTCAGAAAGAATTTCGGATCATATCAATTTAGCAATTTTTTTTAGATTTGCGCAAGACTGGAGAAAACCATCTTCTCCTAAAGAAGCGTGCATTTTCTTTTGTCGAAAATTTCTTTCAAATTCTTGATCGTCGGAAAAAAGGAACAGTGCAATCCTTTACTTTAGCTTGCAAAACAGCATTTGAAATAATAATCTCTACTACCCAGCCGCCGAACTAACAAAATATTAGCAAATTGTTCGTAAAAGTCGCAGTTTGCAAAAAAAAATATGTGCCTACGTCTTAACCTAAGTTCTCATTGACTGTCCATTTTCTTGAACATGGAAAAACCGCATCTTTTTCTCAACGGCGCGCTATTTGCCACAGGCTTCAACGCGCTGAAGGACTCTCCATAAACGCAAGGGATACTTTGTTTTGACTTTACGGAGAGAGTTGTTTTCGAGGACAATCTGAGCAGGAACAACATGTTTCAGAATTCTCATATAAATATTCCTAGTTTTCAGAGAACTGGAATAAGCAGAAGGAATTTTTTTTCCTTATTTAAATTTACTCACTAAGAATACTGTGAAGGAAGTGTCCCTAACTTGTAGTAAAAGAGGAACTTTTACAGTTTTTTGCTGAAGTACCCATTTGAGTACATTACTCAAAAAGAAACCTTTCTTTGAAGAAGTTCCTGTCCTTCAATCTACAGTTCCACAGCTTTCGTATTCAAACAAACATGGTTTTTTGAAAGCGGAAGTCTCGATTAAAAAAGCAGCAGAATTTATGCTAGAATTACTTTCATCAAGAAAAATTTTTTTTGTGAATTGTCAAAAAAAAACCACACCGCAGCTCTGCTGCTTGCTTTTAAGAGTTTTCAAAATTCAGCATAGCTACTGCTCCCAGTCAACGATTGTACGTAGAAGACCAGCGTGAAAGAGTTTTTTTTTCGTTTCACAAAATATAAAAAGTATATCAGCATTGTGATAATTTGTTTCCTTTTAATCGATCAGTTCTTGAAGGAATTCGAGCAACCATTGGAGCATAGCTTCATAAATCTGACAGAAAAAAATAAAACAATTGTTTTTGTAGAGTCAACACTTTGAATTTGAGAAAAAAATCTGGAAAAAATCGATTTCATCGTCTGAAGTCGAAAAAAAAACGTTTCGTAGCACGATAAAGCAGGGATTCTTGCAGCAATCAAGTGACCATGATGTCAAAGTTTTGATTTATCTCAAGGTTGTAGAAGGCAGTCAGCCTTTGAAACAAGCAGCAATGCTTGAGAGGATTCAAGACCACTTTCGTTCATAATCACATTTTTGAGAATAATATCAAGGAATTCATTCGAGGTAGCCTCTAACTGTTCGAGATTGAGCGTAACATCGCAAAGACTAAATTTTGAACTCGCACTTTGAAAGTAAATTTGACTATACTCCCATCACGTCTCAAATACAACTCTTTGTAAAAGAAAAAATTACAGTTCCGAGTTGTGTGGCTAGGACTAAATTGATGAACGTTGGAGTCACAATCACATCGGCATCTCTTGAATTTGACGATAGAGAACAGCTCTGATCAAGCCTTGATTTCTCGACGTCAACATCCAGTCAGCTGTATGTTAGAAATTGCTGACGCATTCTTCTGGGGTATCACTTATCATCGCACCAGGATAATTATGAAGAAGGATAGATATTCAGACGTGAATTTCCTTCCCTTTCCAAATAATTTCCAGTCCCCTGAATGAACATGCAGAACAAAACATTTTTTAAAGTGATTTAGACTAGTTCTCAAATCTTAGCTCTTCTACACATCCATCACACGAAATGATCGTCATATAAAAAAGAATCTTAAACGTTTTTTTAACGAATTTTACTTCAAGAAAAATTTAGAAAGATTTTTACAAGAAAATGCGCAAAACGACTTAGATTAAAAAAAAGGCATACTATCGGTAAAAACGCAGTTTCTCCACTTTAATGCAAGTGCAAACTAAGTATGCCCCACGTTATTAAGCGTAGCATTCATACCACACGAATATTTTCATGGAATATGCGCGTAGCTGAATGAAAATTGTTTTCAGAGAACAATTCTAGTTGAGATTGAAACACCAAAAAAAAAGTTTTTCTTCATAAATAGAGAGAAATCCTCAGTGCTTTCGAGAACATACTAGAATATCCAGTTCGTTAGATCCTCTTCGAAAGTAGTGACTTTATTTTTTAAATGAAAAAAAACTGCGAAACTGATGATAAGCAAAAAAACGCATGCTTCTTGTTTCAATTTGCATTGCAACTTTTAAATTATAGAGCATCCAAAAACAGAAAAAGCTGTTCAGAACGTTCTACGTCCTCCAATTCCTCATTTTTTTCTTCAGGAAACAATGGTAGTGATTCCTTTACAGATTTCAGCAGAATTTAGGAACTATCACTCCATAGGATTCTCTATGGATATGGATGCTGAAGAAACATATATAGCTTTAGCAGATTGCATATTAGCAGTGAATTATCATACATAATGTTAGGATCACTTCCGCTGAAGTTCTTATACTTATAACCCAAAAGCTACATATCGTGGTTTTTGCAGTGGAAGCGTTCTATTCGCATAATTTCCTATGCTAAAATGTATACTGTGCTCAATTCATTTTGTATAATTTGGTTTGTATTTTCATGTTGTCCATGCCGTACGTCGGCTAATGTTTCCAAAACGCACTAATTCAAAAAAAATTCTAAAAAAAGAAACATCAGAAGATGAACGACATCATGTTTGTTTTGTTCATTATTGAAGTCTTGAAGTTGGTTGCAAGACCGCAAGACGATTTTTCGCATCTCAGTTTGAAAAAAAATCCGACTTTCAAAGTTTTATTTTTTTTTGCTGCTGCCATCTTACTCAACGTGAGTTTATTTACATCTACTTTGCCGCACAGCTGCGTATCACATCTACCTTCTTTGGAAAGGCGATCCAAAGAAGTTCCTTTTCAAGCAGCGTATAAAACAAACTTTCGTAGCAGTCCAAAATTTCGCCCTTGTGTAGAAAGTAGCACGAACATTGTCACTACTTCGACACTTGCCCCTATGTCTAGGATAGGCTAGGACTGAGATACTTGTATGTACATTGCCAAAGAAGTTGAATTTTGATTACTTCTAGATGTGATTCAAATCTTTTGAGATGGCTGCCATAGCATGCAATTATCCACAGAAAATGTTCGCATGAAAAAAAATTCTTAACTCAGCAATATTATCGCTAAACCATGTTTTATGTGTTCAACAAATGCTGTGAAAAGAATTTTTTTCTACGTATATTGTAAAATTATCACTATTATCTTGATATAATCTCGTTGTTGATCAATTTCATATCTACTACCCCGCATATTAATTAGCTTTCATTATAACCTCCTAAACGTTGTAATCTCTATACTCCAAATGTTCACTTGCCTTATTCATCAACTGCATTACTACTACGTCCCAAAGATCAATCGATCTAATCTCCATTTCCTACAACTCCAACCAATCCCTTCCCTTCATCATGTCGGGAACCCCATTGTCAACTGCATCTCTCCGCAGTTTCCCACACCGTCCCTCAGCTACTTTCAAGCTCGAGGACGATCTTAGTCGAAGCCATGGGATGTTCTAGGTGAAGGTCGTGACTGCTCGCAGTCTACTGGATCCGTACCCTTAATCTTACGATCTTCATACTCACTACTTTAATCTGTATGTTCTCGCCGTATATTACGTGCATATTCCAACTCATGCACGTTACCCGGAAGAACATGCCGATGCCACTACAACAGTTCGAAACCTCAACCATATCACAAGCTCGAGGACGAGCTTTTCTGAAGGAATGGAGATGTCGGGATGCAGCTAGTCACAACAGCTGCTCGAGAAGGAGGTTGGCCGATGACAGCCAACCTCTGGCAGTGAACTCCGCCCGCCGGCAGGAGCTGGTGCCCTCTTCCCCTTCCCCCTTCCCCTTTTGTATATAACTTGTATAATAAACATTATAGTAAGTCTCATGTAACCCCGCTATACATCAGGTAAAGGCAAGGCCAGCCTTTATCCTGACACACTAACATTTTTGCGGCGAGGGGAGCGGCGTCCCCCGTTATGAAGGGATCGCGTGCGGACGCCGCTGCGGCTTTTTCATCATTGGGGACGCCGCTCCCCTCGCCGCAGGGATGTTAGTGCATGCGGCCCTAAGATACGAGCACGCCTTGCGTATGATCGTCTCCACGATTCGTGTAGAGTTGTACTGCAGACTTTACCTGATAACACAGGTAAACTTGTTAAACCTCCACGTCATAGCCTTGGTTTTTGTACTCTCTCGCTACCAAAAACCGCCACGCTTTGAGTTGGCAAAACCCCGCCTCTACACGTCGTGGAGCCGATGATACTTCTGACAACACATTCGTGAGCACGTTCTAGCGCGTTTCGGTAAATCGTTACTATAAAATATTCGTGAAGGATCATGTTCGAACTCGTGTTGTTTAACAAGCTCAAGCATGTTCTGTCACGAATACCTAATACCAAGTCCTCCAACACGTAAGAAAACTCATGAACATGTTGATCGGACTGAGCAAAGCGTGCTCGTGTCTCTTAGTCAGTGATTAAATGATACATCCAGTTACGATATGCAAATACAGTCGATTTCGTTGATCGTACGGACTGGACATCATCGCGGAGCACGCGCCGCGAGGTAAGGGATCGTTCATACAGCGCACAAAGGCGGACGAAGGCGCACGAAAGCGGACGAAGCCGCACAAAGGCGGACGAAGGCGGACGAAGCCGCACAAAGGCGGACGAAGGCGCACGAAGACATGCGTGAGTGTGTGTGTGTCGAGAGAAACGAGACGAGGCGTGTGTGAGTGTGTATGTGTGTGTCGAGAGAAACGAGACGAGACAAGACGCGCCTTAGTCCGCCTTCGTCCGCCTTTGTGCGGCTTCGTCCGCCTTCGTCCGGCTTCGTCCGCCTTCGTGCGCGGTATGAACGATCCCTAAAACGCTCGCTTCAGCACAAATTCGCCATTGTATAAATCGTGCTCTCCCAACATTTTAGCCGTGCCGCGCGCGTGATCCGCAGCGTTTGAGCAGTCCCTGCGGTCAACGAATTGACGATACATTCCCTATCACCATGCCTCGGTATCTTTGGTAGCAAATCACTCTATCAAAAACCGTTTTTCTTGGACATCAAGGGTGCACGTTCTGATAATGTTTTTTTTTTTTGGCATTAGGGTTTCCAAGAACGATTAAGTGGCAACGATTAAATCATCGGTGCACCTGTGGTTTTTTCTTAAGCTTTGCAAACTAATGGGAGGAGCTTTGTGGTTCAAGAGTTCTATAATACTTCATTTTTTTGTGATGCGTATACTAAAGAAAAGTTGATGTCATAATGAGTCTACAAAGCAGTATTTCAAGGAAAATTGCTGACATCTTGTCAAACTTTAATTCGAACTTTAATCGGACTTTATGCGCAGGAGCAAGATTTTCTCCAGTTTTATTAGCTGCAGGAATGATTTAAGTTCCATCGTTTGCTATTGTTTAATTTGAGTTATAATAGTCGCTTCTGGCATGTATGTACACAAGAAGAGCCAAACTAAAGAAGACGCAAAAACACGTGTTATCACGATTGATTGAGAACGAATTTAGTTAACTTTAGTCAATCAAGCACTTTCCAAAACCGGCCAAGGAAAAGAAGTATATCTTTAACTATAACGCAGTTTTAAGTAGTTTAAGCAGGTTGATGTCCGACAAGAAGATAGCAAAGACCTGCTCAGACTATTTAGAACTTTATATGGCCGTACGCCTTCTTTCAACTTTTTTAGCGCGTATCCTCATCTTCATTCCCTAGAAAGAAGGTCCAACTTTTACTCAATCGCATGGTACTTATGCTGTATTGGGGATAGTCTCGCTCAAACGACTTCATGTCTGAGTTCAGAAATCAATTGCTTATCAGGTCTGTGACTAATGTGACTACCAAAGTCTCAACCTAGAAAAAAGTTCTCTAAAAACTTCACAATGGCTATTTCGTCATGTCGACATTGTCTGTGAGTGTCTGCGCGTCGTGTCACTGACAGGTGGTGTGACTGCGACAATCGATTTCTCTCCGTCGTGAGGTAATTCAGCTTTTTTTCGGTTTGCTCCTATCAGCAGTTTTGTTTGATTCGTTGGGTTCGAGGTCTGGGTTTCATTGCCGTGCTGCTGATCGCTTATATTTGTTTGTTTTATGATAGTGAGAAAACAGATTAGTGCTAGAAAATCGATTGATTTACTTGTTCTTGTGTGACTATCTAATCATAGTGGAATCCATTGGTACGGTTTTCATCCCTACTTCAAAATCAATTTCAAACGAAGCTCATAGTGGACACATAACAGTCGTTCTTTCGTTTGTTTGATGTGACGCGCCCTTGTTGCGACAGTCGTTCGTCCATTTTACTGTCGCACGTCCCATTGCACTGGTTAGATGAACTTTCAGGAAAAGCGATAAGGTTGGACTTCCATTTTTCATGTGTTACTTGTTTATTACTCTGTTGTGATTCCTCCCCCCCCCCCCCCCCCGCTAGTACTTTTTGAACACAGCTATATTTCTTTATGTATATTCCGATTGTGATGTTATGCCTTCAATCTCATAACTAAGAAATTGGACCGTATGACTGTCCGGCCCATCATAATCTGCATATGACTGAAACATCACTTATGCCACACATAATGAAAGTTCTTGGTGATTCTATCTGCGAAATCGTGTGCTCAAATCTAACAAATTCAGAAAATTCTTTCGTAATGCTCAGGACTAGGTGATTCCGTATCCGCAAGCATTGACATAGATTTCATGTTAGGTAAATTTATGTGACTCAATTATCCTCCATATAGATCTTCAAATAACTATGCCCATCACTAATGATATAACTTCGTAAAGAGCCAAGACTGTAGAATTTTTGCGGATTAGGCGAATATAGTAGAATTCAGATGAAATGAAAGTATACACTACTTATTAGATCTTTTGTTTTTTACTCAACTGAGAGAAGAGAGAAGGAATGTTCTCAAACAAGGTTAAGGTCAACTTTCTTGAAGCGAATTTTGAAAGGTACCATAGCACATGTACAGTCGAGTAGATTTAGCGGTAAATATAGTGTGCTTGCACAGAAGGTGAAATGCGGTGAAATTTGCGCGTGAACAAGTAGCCACGTCAGTACCGCGGGCATCTTGCGCGCGCAATTGGCCGGCGTCACAGTCGAAACTATTTCTTCACGCGCCAATTTTACCGCATTTCACCTTCTGTGCAAGCACACTATATTTACCGCTAAATCTACTCGATGTTACGAATGGTCATCCATTATAATCATGGAGTTGCGATTAACGGTTCCGACGGCGGGAAGTTTCAGCATTGAAAAAATTTTTTTGTTACTCACATGTGCAGTTTTTTTATGTGTGACGACTTTACAATTTTTGAATGTCAGCTGTGAAACTTTCGGAATTTCGGTTTACTGTAGCGATTCTGAGTGTCATGTACAAAAAACCATTTGCATCATCGGGTTTCAAGATAAGGAGGCTTTCGCGTCATATTAGTGATCAAATACAGCTTCAAAGCATATTCCTACAAGCAGTTGATTGATAACAACACATCAATTCCTTTTCTTTTTATGGTAAAGGACCTCTTTTATTCTTATTACTTCATTTGTACATTTGTGAGCATGATATTATACAACAAGGCAGCGATTGTCACAAACTCCTATTTTTCCTTTGCTTAGCAGTCATTTTTCCTTGGTTGTGTTCCAGTTTGAATAGTGCACTTTGTAAATAAATCCAGTGTCCGAAGATCACTTCAAAAGTCACACAGATGTGTAATGAACGCGGCACTCGGGATTTCGTCATCACTGTCTACGTGTTAGCATACTTTCACGGAAGGCATTTTTTTCGGCGCTGCTATTCCATTTAATGCTTCAAAAACTCAGAATTATAATTTTGCTAGAACCTGGCTTAGGAGTCATTTCGTTGATCGAAAACCAGATTTCATAGGGAGTACCGATAGACTTCGGCGAAAAGCGCCAGAATGAGCCGACAGGCTCGTGATATGGTCATCTCCATCCGCTCCAAAACAAAATGCTTCATAAGCTAGCACTGCTTTGCCTGGCCCCTAACAAGCTTCAGCTAGGGAGTAGGTGATTGAAGTAGCGGTTAAGCAGAAGTGCGCCACTAAGGCTGGGTTCATACTGATCCGTAAGTTCTGGATCAGTTCCAGCACACGCTCGAATGCTGGAACTGTTCCCTGACATGCGGATCAGTATCCGCATGTTAGGGAACAGCCTAACAGCCATAGATTTGGTCACTATCTAGGAGAGTATCTTGGGTGTCAGATATCCGGCAAGCATTAAAGAGTCCCTTTCAACTTTGGAAACAGGTGTTAGTTGAGTTAAACCCGTTCTCTGCTGTTCCTTCCCAAATGGCCCTTGGGGTCACATCCAAGTAAATGCCTAATCCTAGGCTAAGGCATAGCCTGGTAAATAAGGAAAATTGCTAGCGTTATGATTTTTGGTATAAGCGCGTAGAATACCCTTCTTTCGGGGCAAACTTTCGCGAAATCTGTGATTTTGAGTTCTGGGGTCCTTCTCGTGAAATAATAACTAGATATAATCTGACCGCAAACGGGGTCAATTAATCGCTATTGGCTTGTTGATCTGATGATGCCATTTTCCAACTTTACTATTCTTCTTTCAGAGTTTCTTGGTCCGTAAAAAGCAAAATACAGGCTAAGAACGAAGCCAACTCGTTTGCATCCCTTACCCATCTTCACTATTTTTTGAACAAGTCCGCTGGCAAAAATGGTATTCCGGCAGTATCGTCGCACTACGCAGCTGGGACGATTGGTATACCAGGGCTTGAACTCGGCAACATGGTGAGTTTGAAATCTTTTCTTTTATTTTTCTTGTATTTTTTAGCTATCCATATTTGGTATGCAGTCCTTCGATTTCTAAAGAAAACTTTATTGCACCTTCGTCCTTGACAGTGATTTATCTTCCTGCATCATCATTTCTGCAAACTGGAAGTGAATGGAAGTCTAAGATTGATAGCTAGAGGGGAGAACATGTTCTATTGGCAGTGTGGTGCATCTGCAACCACTTTCAGTTACGTTTTCTTTGTAAGTAATCTGGGAAGCAAGAGCGTTGTAGACCTGTATTCTATAGAGGTTGTGCTCAGTGCTGGCTCTGTGAAGTATGTTCTGCATAGACTTTGGACTGTATCAGCTCACTGTACGGCGTGAAAAGAGTGTCAAAGTCAGTGCTTGATGATTCCTCCTTGCCCTCCCCTAAAAAAAAGAAAAAAGATATTTTATGTCAAGACGAAGTGATCAGGAAAAAGTACACAATCATGAAGCGTTAGCCACATATGAATGCTTTGAAAGTAAGGGTCAAACATTTCAGCTCACGGATGCATCCGGCTCTTTTGTCGGAGAAATATTTACTTCAAGTCAGTCTCCGATATGCTTCTACAGATCGAAGTAAGGTCGAGTACACCTTGAAGATGCTGAAGGACGACCTGCTGCACCAAGATGAGATGCGCAAACGTCTTGTAATATTTTTGAAATATTGTTGGCCAGTCCGCAATAGTACCTAGTTCAGTACTCTTTAGGTACCTGCCGAGGACAAGCCGCAGAAGAAACTTACACTGACGCAAAAGATCGTCGCAGAATGTAAGCACTACTACCACGGCTTTCGGCTTCTAGCTCTCGAGACGAGACTTAGCGCCAAGTATATGTGGCGCGTTTTGCGTGGAGATACCCTGTCAAGGCGAGAAAGGCAACAGCTGGTCAGTTCCATTGTTGTTCATATCTTATTGAATTATATAATCCGTGTCTTAGTCTTTTCTTTTGTTTTTGTTGATTGCGGTATCGCCTATTCGGATTGGACCATTCATTCTATCACTCGAAAGACATCATTGGGATCTTTCTTCTCCACTTCAGTCAAAACACAGCATCATTATATAACATGATTTATCATTTGGACGAGTAGGAGGGCAATTGGGCAAAGCCAAAATCGTCTCTTACGCGCGTTTGGAAGCGTGTCAAAATGCCAAAATGCAAGAACGCTTTTTGCGCACGCATTTGAATCCGTGACGTAAGTTCGGAAACGGTATGTCTGACACTAAAATGGCTAAAGTTGTTCGATTTATTGAAGTTATATCTCGTTTACATTCCATTTTGGCTTAACTGTACTATTCTCAATCAAGACACCTCATTGTGGTTTGCATCCATATTTACCTTTTGATTCAACTGGCTTGGCGGCTGGAAGGCGGGGCTTCGTGACCTAATTGAAGGCAGCGTCCAGGCAAATCTGGACATATGGGGATCTCACGTGGAAAGTAATTTTGGGGCCCTAACTAAGGCACTACCCAGCGCAGGTGACTCACTATTGGCTGAGATATGCGCCTTCAAACTGGACCCCAGGATTGTATTCGCATGGATTCATGGCGCAACCCATCAATCTCGCGTCCTTGCGCGAAACTGATGGGTTGCGCCATGTATCCATGCGAAATACGATCTTGGGGTCCAGTTTGGAGGCATATATCTCAGCCGTTAGTGAGTCACCTGCTGCCTGGACGCTGCTTTTAAGGCTGGATAATGATCAGATAGCACGCGCCGAGAGAGGCGCAACTGCGTCGCGGGCGCGAGCGGCCTTGACTAGGTCACAAAGCCCGCCTTCCAGCCGCCAAGCCAGTTGAATCAAAGGTTAGTTATCATTTCTTCACATTTGCTTCGCAAAAACACGCACTGTTACCATGGTGGATGGGCATCATAAGAGGTGGGAGCGGTAAGAGCGGCAGTCATCGTTTCGTAGGAAACTGATCGTTCGCTTCACATCATTCCGCACTTATCGGCGAAAGCTAACGAAGGTCTCAATTTGGCTCCCGAGGAGACCAATTGATAGAAATTAGATACCGATGATTTGCAAAGTTTTCTAGTTTATGTGGAGCTCCGTGAGACGTGGGGACCAGCTTTGAATAAAGAACCCTCTTTTGCCGTGGGACCGTTCTCACGTACATCAAATACCCTCCATCTCATTTGCGGTGTCGCCATCTCGTGTGGCTATAATTCAGCGCGAACGTCTTAACGGCCATAGGTTGCCGGCGTTGCTGGGGTTGCCGAGGTTGCCGGCGTTGCTGGGGTTGCCGAGGTTGCCGGCGTTGCCGTCGTTGTAGCACCACATGATAGCCTTCACGTCTCGCGAGCTCTCTAAGGCTGCGTTCATACTGAACCGGAAGTTCGGGAACAGTTCCAGCACAGCTCTCAGTTCGAGTTCCCAATATTTCTAGATCAATATGAACGCAGCCTAAGCTGTCTCTGACTCCGGCAATGCCGGCAACCTCGGCAACCCCAGCGACCTCGGCAACCGTTGCCGGCAAGCTATGGCCGTTCCTTTAGGCTCTGCTTCGCGTTTGCAAACATGTCCTCTTATCATATTCCCAAGCCTAAGCATGGTAAATGCTCAGAGGGGGGAGCTCCATTCGCTGCTCAGGCGTGGGAAAGTGAAGAGGACAGGTTCGCGAACACGCTGCAGACTCATGCGGGACAGTCGAGCGGGTCCGCTTGAGAAGGCGACAATTCCAATGAGACAGAGGATACAGTCTGTCCCAGGTTGGATCGGGCCAGAATTGACATGAACGCCCGCGGCATAGTTTGCGTCATGTCTGCGTTTTGCTCTAGATAATAGTGATAGGATTTGTTCTTTTCTCATTCTCCTTGATCTCTCTAGCAATGCTTTGCGCCTGCGCTTGCTCGCAAACTCATAGCATACGAGTGCGCCCAGAGCATTGACGCTTTCGAACTAACATTTCGGCCTGGTCGGAACAGACTGTATAGGGCGTATTAGTTGCAGAGGGTGTACAAGCATCTCCAGTCCCCCGACCGCCTCGCCCGAACTCTGCACCTCATACGCGAACATGCTCTCGTTTCACTTTCCCACTACGAGCGTGGGAAAGACTGAACTTCAGTCGTTAATCAAGAGTGCGAAAATGATTAGAGCATGTTCGCGAAAGTGGTGCAGAATTTAGGCGAGGCGACCATGCAGAAGCGGAGATCTGCGGGAGCGGATCGGTGCACCCGACTCTGGAATTGATAAGTTGTATCCTAGCTGAACTTTCTGGCAGGCGTAGACGGAATTCACACAACAGAACACATATCTTTTAATACAGATTAATCGAAGGAGATTTCAGCCTATCTCGGTAACGTTCAAAGAATAGCTTTGCTCTAATTGATGGTGAATAATTAGATGATCGCTGTTGCTTTTACCTGATCTGCTTTCAGATGAGTGGAGAATGCTCCATTTTTTCACGATTCTTGTTTCAAAGGTTTGAAATGATATTAGACGCAGAGTTTATGCCTGATTTCAAAGCGAGCGTGCTGACGCTCTGGTAGGCGCCAGACTAAGCGACTCTTTTGTTCAGACCAGAAGGCGCGCAGAATTAATATCTGCTCCAAGACGAAGGCGGTCGCCCAAATAGGTTGAAAGCATGAAAGGCGGCGGCGCGCGGGCAATTGTCAACCACAGGGCGCGCGCACGCTCGGTCAGCGGTCATCCACGCGAGCGCGCGCGCGACCCGTGGTTGACAATTGCCCGCGCGCCGCGTGCGCGTCAGCCTTGCATGCTGTCAACCTATTTGGGCGACCGCCTTCGTCATGGAGGAGATATTAACATCAATTTTGCGCACGATTGCCTGCTTCAGCTGCAGGACCGCGCCAAATTCTGCGGAAATTTCAAAATTTTGTCAGTTCTGCGCGCCTTCTGCAGCTGAACAAATCGTCTTGTCTGGCGCCTACCTTCTTGGTGTTTCGGCGCGGTTGGGGGGACTATATGTCGCCGATAGGCTCCACCCAATGAGGAACTGTATAAATCTGTAATGTATGTGATATGTATGCTGCGTGCCTTGTTGCAGTAATCCTCGTGGGACCACCCCTTTCGGCTGCATGTGGAGTCTGCTCCAATCCCGACCAGGCCAAAACTGACAAGGCTGGAGCCCACGTCGATAGGATTCGAGGTCTCGCCCGCGGCTGCTCCTCTGCTTCATCTTCAGTCCTTTTGCCCTCTCCGACCGCGCGTATGCAGCGCAGACCGCTAGCGCTGCGAGCACGCAAAGTTACGCCGACGGTTCGGCCTGATCCTGATTGGAGATGATTATAGTCTCCTCCCCATCAGCGTTTTTGGGCACAGCTTGACGAGGCCCTTACACCCTTGCATCAGCAATCTAAGTTTTCCAATTGATATGAGTGCACTTTGCAGTATGAAACAAGGCACGACTGAGCTACTGAAATAAGGGAGGGGAAAAGAACTTTAGTGTCACATGAAGTCATACCATGGGCAACCTGCGAACTTGTAGGGAAATGCTTTGTATGTAACAATATTATAGTCGGCGAGTTAGTCTACACCCTCACATAGTCATGGCCAGAAGGTCCCTTCATACTACGCCGCAGCCAGAGATGACTCAACAGGTTTCAATGGTTCTTCATTTAGGTTGAATTTGGGCATAATTTACGTGGGAGGGGCATATTTTTGCTGCCACTGCAGCGAAAATATGCCCATGCCACGTAGTTTCGTAGTTTGTCGATGCTCCTCTCTATCTGTTTGTGCATGTTCGTATTTTTGGGAGTATTTCAAGGATCCCAAAAGGTTTCAAAACGACCTCGCGTCACAGTGTTGGCGGGGTCTATCTACACCTACAAAACTTAGAGCCTAGAAGCCGTTTTCAACATTTTTGCGCTCTAGCAACAAGTATATAATTAGCGAGACGGATTGACCCCCAAAAATGTTATGTGGCAAACCGCCGCGAATAGTATGTCCATGATCGAGAGATTTCCTTCGGAATTATCCACACAATCGTTCTAGCAGCAGACTTGCATGCTCTTGCAGGGGTACGCTTCACGAGGACGGTAAGTCCCCATGCCAAAACATGCAAGTCCAAAGTTATTTGACGATATGATACTGGGCAAGTTTCGAGATGAAAAATACCCTCTTTCAATGGAGTTGGCGTGTGGAGGGCGGGGCGTCGATCGATCAGAGAGGTCGAGTGGGAGACCAGGCTCTGCATCTCCCTTGCGTACGTGCTCTCTGATCGACCAAAGCCCTGTCCTCCAGCCGCCAATTCCAGAGGATATCGGCTGGAAATGAATTGGCATCCTCGCTTGGATACTATCTTATTAGGGCCCTACAAGCAGTTTCCCTGTGGCCAAATGCCAAATTGCTCTGTCATATTCGTTCCTTCACCCCGCGGCCGCAGTCGTTATGCTTTCACCCAGCCGCAAAGCGAGCTTGTTGCTAAAAACTGCTCGTTTGAAAAGTTCATGAGCATTAGAGGTGGATTACGCACTCATGAAAGCTTCTAATATAGTTGTTTCTCAACCCGTGCAGTCACATATGGAATTGACCAGCATGGGCAGTAGTTTTTTTTTGCATAGTGAATGCTTTTGTTGGGATCACAGAAGCAAATAATCCCTGCGGTAGCAAAATCGCTGCTGCGATAATGCCTATAATGAACTTGACATTTCGTGTTTGTGCTACGCAATTTTGAAGTGCATACGAGAGTAGCACAATTAAATGCATTGAGCGGCATGTACACAGGTTGAAGAATACTGGTGCCAAAATATGTAATAGTCGTATCCCTGAGCTTTTGTTGCAATAGCTGCTTTGTTACGAGCAGCTATGACCATCTGATTTCTTGGTGCTTTTGCACGCCATATGCTGATGTTTAGATTCAATCTTTGATCCATTCAGCACAAAGAACGTGTCCGCGGCTACGCAGCCATGAGCTTTCTTTTGCAAAAAAAAATGTTCCAAAAGTCGCAAACACTCCATCTCACAATTTTGAATTAAAAATTGGTTCTAAATTACAATTTGAGCTCTGCTTTTGTTTTACATCCACTCTATACTTTTTTCTATATCATACGAATAAAATCGTGATCATAATGTACTTCATCTTTTTTCAGGTCCGGACAGTCTCTGATCTCTTCCGTATTGTGCCGTTCTCTATTTTCATCATAGTGCCATTCATGGAGCTTGCTTTACCTATTTTTATCAAACTCTTTCCAAACATGTTGCCAAGCACATTCCAGGAAAGCAGCAAACAGGTGTGTGTAATATCGATGAATCCATTGTATCATTTCATTTTCTATCGCAAGTTTAGGAAGAAAAGCTTCGAAAACAGGTTCAAGTGAAGGTGGAGATGGCAAAATTCTTACAAGACACTATTGAAGAGATTGCTCTTGAGAGGAGATCCAAGGCTATTGAGCCTAAAGGCTCCAAAGCGGTTGAATTCGCGCAGTTCATCAAGAAAGTAAATCGAATTTTTGCATTAATTCTATTGCTTTTCGGATTGATTCAATCTAGGTGAGATCTGAAGGTGGCTACGTCTCAAACAAGGATCTGCTCAAGTTTACAAAACTTTTTGAAGACGAACTTACTCTGGATAACCTGAGTATGAGCCAGCTACGGTGAGGGTTACATAAATCTTATTTTCGTTTTTTACGGTCGCTTGGATCGAGCATACATGACGTTGTATTTTGCAGTTCACTGTGTCGAGTGATGTCAATACAACCTTTTGGAAGCCCAGAAATTCTCAGATTCCAGCTTCACATGAAATTACGTGAGCTCAAAGCTGACGATAAGGTATTCTGAAATCATCCCTCTCGCAAGCGTGGGAGTTGTATGTGCAATTTTTAGCAAATTGCTGCCGAAGGTGGTGTTGAAGCTTTAAATACGCTTGATCTACAACAAGCCTGTCGTGCTAGAGGCATGCGTGCCATAGGTTTGAGTGAGCAGCGGCTGAGAGAGCAGGTCGGTCTTGTTAGAAATTCTATTGTCCGCTGGAATTTTTCTGAGGTCTTTTATAGCTGGGACAGTGGCTGGAGTTATCGCTGAATGACAAGATACCCCCATCTCTTTTACTATTGTCGAGAGCGTTATACTTGCCAGAAGATATCTCGTTCACTGACAGGTTGAAGGCACTTGTTCAGAGTTTGCCAGAAGGTGAGCTTAACAAGCTCTTATCTGATAAACATATGAATTTTGATGTATTGAGGCATCGCTGAAAGCACTCGCCAGAAACTAACGGAGCTCGAGGGTGGAAAAGTGGATCACAAAGCTAGGCTTGATCTGATAAAGCAAATTGAGGAGGCAATTGCAAAGGAAAAGGCTATAGAAGAGGAAAAGAAGAAAGAAAAGGAGGTAACTGATTCTTTTTTATCACTGTTTACAAAGAAATGCGGATATTTCGTATCTGAAGAAAATCTTCATCTTACGTTTTTAGAAGGTTGTGCTGGCCGAAGGCGAGAAAGAGCGTGTTGCCGCGGAAGAGATAGCTTCGATGTCTGAGGGTATTGCTAGAACGTCAACAAAAATAGCTGAAGCGGCGGCTACAGTATCCGAAGCAATTCATGCGGCGAAGGTCAGTGATATTGAGCGTTGCTTTGTAGTGTGGCTTTTTACATCTGCCGTTCATGCTTGTGCTTTATAGAAGGAATTGGTAGACGTAGTGCAAGAAGCTGTTGATGCTGCGAAAGCCACGGAAAAAGAGAAAGCTGTGGCTGCTGAGGCACCTGTTAGTTTTTGAATCGTTTTTCTAGATTGTTGTAATGGATTGGATTTATATTGACTTCTGCACAATGCATTCAACATAATAGTGTTGCAGGTCGATCCTAAAGATCTTTCATCAATCGAACAAATACTTGTTGGAGGGCCCATTGATGAAGCAAAGAATGAAATACTCGAACTGAAAGAGAAGGCTATTGAACATTCAGAAGTAAGCGGGCATTGTTCGAGTGCAATCTTTATTTTGTTTTGAGCATTTCTGAATACAAATTATTTTTCTTTATTTATGTCTTTCAGGATCTTCATGAGATTACAGCACTGGACAGCGGCTTTTCTGAAACGAAGGTTGCCAAGCGTCTCCGTACTAAGCTGAACACTATGATCGACAAAGTCGATACCCTCGTATCGAAGTTGGAAGAAGAGAAGCGAGCCATCAAGGAAACGCTCCCAGATCCAGCTATGGGTGAAACTGCTGCAGCAATGAAGTAAGTATATAGCACAGAATGATCGCGCTAGTGTGCGGACTCTAACGGACACCGATCGAACTTGGGCATGCGTTGTTATTCCGTCAATGGTGCTTTGTGCATATAGATCACTATAGGGGGAGGTCGCGCGCGTCACATGTTCATTCAGCTACGGATCATGTGACGACGATGAAGATTGCATGGTGTTTTATTGGACTTTTTGAATCTGATATTGTGCCATATAGGGCCAAACAAGTCCGAGTCCAAGATCTTATTGATGCTCTGACGAAACTGCAAGCGTCACCAGCTGCAAGTGGAGAGTCTGACACGGAGGCGGAGGCCAGACGTGCACGCATCGAACAACTTCTCACCAGTATCGACAGTGACGCGGATGGTATTGTAAATGCTGATACCATACTAGAGGTGAGCTCATTTGGCTGTATAACTGGCTTTCGTCTGTAAAGCCGAGTTTTGAAGGTGATTGCACTCGTTGAGAAGCACGGAGATGTGAAGATCTCCGCTTCACAAGTAGCTTCTATCGTTAGCATGTTGGAGAAGGAGGGTGAAGCCGAGGAGTTGGTCAAACGAATTGAGGCCCTCGATGCTCCCATGATGCCACAGGTTGTGTCTTATTTCGAATCGTGGTTCGGACATGCCCCTACGCAGCGTATCAATGGTTTCTTCTTTAGGGCCCCACAATCGATGACGATGAATCATCCGAAGAAGCGAAGAAAAATAAGAACGGGGTGCTCGACATTCCTAACGTCGACCCGAAAGTCACTCTTCCCTTGAGCAATAAGAACGGCAATAATGGCGCACCTCGACCTAATTCCGATAAACCTCCTGCTTAGGTTATCAGTACGTGTTTAGGGCGCGATTGTGTTAACTTCTTATGTGATAGTTTGTAAAAAAGAATCTGTTTTCTTCAGGAGTGCTCGAATAATAACTGGTTCTCGGTATGTGTGATCATTTGATATTTTGAGGCTGGTGATTTAGTTTCCTCTGTATTCTGGTTAGTCATGATTTTTGTACAAATATTAAACTCTTGGAAATCGTATGCATCGATGTATGGTGCACATTGTTTTACTCTGTTTTCCCCATAGAGCTGATTTCTATGTTTTTCGAAATTCAAGTGCTTCAAGATCTATGCATTGCTAGTTCTGAAAAACAGCTGTTATTGTTACCGCCAATCCATGTACATAAACCCGCGCCTTCTTTTCAGCAGCATGAGTGTGAATGGTATAGCTAATAATATGATTTGCACAAATGTTGGTCTTATGGAAGTTCTTTTTTCGCTCGTTATAATAAATTTTAAAACGTTTTACAACATGTATGTGAATTACTTCCGTTGATCATCGCTCTTATTTTGCGAGAACAATTTTTGAGTTTGTCTAAAACCGATCCAAGATTTCCCTTGCGTCTGATCGAAGTATGTTCTTATTTTTTTTTTAGCTTTTTGTTTTCTATCCATCTTGGTAGAGATGGGTTTTGGCGACGGAGCCAACACTCAAGAAGTACCATCATTTGGACGAAGAAGTGACAAAGGTTTTCAAGGTTCATTTTTTCGAATGTAAACTACTATTTTACAATAGCAGAAAATCTGGGGATTTTGCTAAGTATGGTTCATTTCATAAATCAGAGCAGTGGCATTTGTTTAGGCGTTTTTCTCCGTGTCTGAATGACTTGGAAATAACGTTTCCTATGCTGAAAGTGGGGAAATGGCACATGAAGCGGCTCTCATTTTTACCTGATTAAGATTTGCGCAAAGCATGTGGCGCTAATAAGAAATAGCGTTGCACATCAAACGGTGCATGGTAGTTTATCACTTCTAATAGAAAAGTGATCTTTCTTCTCTAGGCTACTCTGTTCGTGATGTTCAGTTTGTACTTCCTCATTCTCATCTGTAAAGCACGTGCTTTGGTGCACTTATTTTTTAGCCATCGCGCACTAAATATATGATACTATATATGAAATAGTGCATCAGCTGTGCTTGGGGATTTGTCAATAATGGAAGTCATTTGAACTAAATATCAGGGAACGCTCTAATTACTTTAAACAGATGACCACTTCGGTTTGAATAATTGTTGTTGATTTTTGGCAATGTGACCAATACACAAATTGTTAGACTTATTTGTAATTTCTTCGTTTAGGTTCGAATCAAGGAGGATTTGGACCACCACGTTCTGGGTGAGCTATTCTATTCTTATTTTCTTGTTTTCTCTGAAAAACACTGCATCATTAGGAAAAGTAGATGTTTCAGCAGCTCAAAAGAAATATTTTTTTAGCAGAAAATGATGACTTCTCTCAGGGAAACAAATTCCACTTATCATGCAGTACGCTGTTCCTCTGCTTTTGACATTTTGAAATTATTCCGTTTGACCTTGAGCAAGTGGTCATACAGAAAAGGGCGTTGCTGTAGGCGCCGGATAGGGTGCTCATACATATCCGGTGAAGTTTACATGCTTAGTGATCCCCTAGACATAGCCTATAGCTGGAGCTTAATTACGCCCAGTTAACACACAGCTGTTGACTCGGGTGGCGTAAATTATAGGATCCTGGCCAAGGTGGCGATAACGAATTAAGCTGTCAAATTCGCGTGTTGTAAGTATACTAGAACTCTTTGTCATCGATAACAGTCTGCTATCGAGGTGTTTCTCCAACTATGTCAGGATAGAATTGAATAATGAGAGCTTTTACTTATTCTTGAGGCGTTGGACTCTAAGATTCTCCTTCCTTTTCAGGAAAGGCGGCTTTGGACGCAATGATGAACGAGGTGAACGAAATGAACGCAATGATCGTAACGACCGCGGTGACCGCGGTGAACGCAACCATCCTGACGGTTTGAATCCAATATTTGTCTCTATCCACGCTAATCATGCATAATGATTTTAAGGCCCTAGATTCAATGACAGATATTCTAATTCTAGTAAGCTACTTTTATTTTCTCGGGATGTATGTTTTTATGGGTGCTAATGCAGTTTGTCCGGGTTGTGGTTAGGTTCAAACATACTTCCGGATCGAGCGTACGCATCGTTGAGCTTGAGTTACGTGGCATTTTTACGATATTTGCAAGCTAAAAACTGAAGTAAAGAAGACAGCATCGTGCAGACGCGAGTTTCTGCTCTGCGGACGCACACGTTATGTCAGCTGATCTTGTTCGGACAGGCTGTGTACAGTGTATACATTTGTGTAAGCTTTGTGTTACCCGACCAGTTGCGTGCATGGATAGATAGACACCTCAGTTTGATTGTAGATATACGTATGGATTTTTTATGTTTTAGTTGAATATAATGTAGTGTTTGTTGTCTTATCCTTAGGAGGAATCATACAGAGATTATTCCAGAAAATGACTCCAATGACGTTCGAAGAGGAGGTCGAAATGACAGGTTTTCGACTCCTCGACAAGATGATGGTTTGTAATTGATTTTTTTGCATTTTTATTGCTTTTCAATAGTTGTTCGCATGATCTTATTTAGATAGAGGATTCGGAGGCGGACCTCGTCGAGGAGAAGGACCTCCGAGAGAGGTATGTTTGTTTCATATATGAGAAAGCTTAGTTTTTACTGCACATTAATGCGCTGTACATGTCCAGTCTTTCTGCACTTTGTTAAAAGTTTTATTATTACTAAAAAAAACTTGCTTCCATGTTTGTCATTTTCGCGACAAAGTAACTAAGAGAGCTTGTTTAAAGGCAGCGGACAGGCAAAATGGACCCCTGTCAGATTTTGGTAGTTTCGGGTAGTGGACCCCCCAAGTACACCGTTGCCCCAACCCCACATTCCAGTTCATGCGCTAAGTCCTGAAAAAAGCGCTTCAAAACTCCACCAGCCCCGCCCACTTCCATTGAGTGGGCGTTATTGGTGGAAGTTTGAAGCGCTTTTTTCAGGACTTAGCGCATGAACTGTAAGTTGGGGTTGGGGCTACGGTGTAATTGGGGGGTCCACTACCCGAAACTACCAAAATCTGACAGGGGTCCATTTTGCCTGTCTACTGCCTTTAAGACTAAGCTCGTCTTTTTAGCGATTCGGTGCCCCTGGATTCGGGCAAAACAGTAGGAACGAAAATAGGAACGAAAGCAATGGTTTCGGTAATGCAGACGCGGTAACCTCTGCATTGCAGTCTCATTATTATTCGCTTAGGAAGTAGAAGCAGAGACCTTGATCGAGACCGAGATGAGGGATTCGGTAGAAGACCGCCTGAAGACCGCGAAAATAGAGGGTAAGCGAGCAGTGGCTTGAATACAAGTAAAAGATTTGTCTTTGCAGTGGTGGTTATCGTGGAAGTGTTTCTTACGACAGAAGTGATTCCATGGATAGTGATTATCCAAGGAAAGGCGGACGCCCTGAATTAGGTCGAGGTGATCGCGATCGACCGATGAGTAGAAGGGACCAGGATTTTGGCAGTTCTCCGAAGGGACGTGAATTCCGTGGAAGAGAATCCTCTTTCGAAGATCGACATCGTGAAAACAAAGGATTTCGATCAGATGATCCGAACGAGTACAAGAGCGGTGCTAGTGGATATGCAGGAAACGACCGTCCTGGGTTTGGAGGAGGAGGCTTCAGAGGGCGAGGCGGTTCTAACGGTCGAAGCGGCCATGATTATAGACCTTCTTCCGATGAAGAGAGAGGAGGCGGTTTTGGACAGCAAAAAGCAAAAGAAAGCGGCAGAGCTCGATATGACAGTGTTTTCGAAAGGAGCGATCTTGACTCCTACGACGAAGGAGAAAAAAGTAGTCGTGATATTGAAGATAAGCGAGGAGGGTTTGGATTTGGAAGAGGACGATCGTCACCTGAAAGAGGCAGAGGAGGTTATGATCGCAAACCCGAGTTTTCCCGCGGAAGAGGTAAGCCAGGTTATTATTTGATTGATAAGGTTTTTGTAATTGTCTGTGCCAAAAGTCGTTTTGATCGTGTCTGTGCACGTAAATATAGGCTGCTGCCTGACGAAGTCGCAATATCTTTGGGCGCGAACGCGACTTTCTTAGTCACAGAGCGCATGAGGCGGGATTTAGGTAAAGGTACATGCGCGTCGCGTTCTCGTCCGCTCATTTAATACTGCTTCTGCGCCTTCATCCTGCATTAGCCTTTACACTCTGGCGCAGCCTTCAAGTCTAGTTGACTAAACCTAGAAACATAACTTGAAGAATTAAAAAAACATCAAAGGCGGCGAAAAAGCACATGAAGTGTGCGTGTGGGGTCTTGAACCATATCGCAAGGGGGGGGGGTGCCCTCTGTCTCATCTGCGGGATATCCTCTTTCTCATCTGCAGTGTCGCTTCTCCATGCGACTTTCCAGCGGGGCCGCTTTGCTTGGACCGGAAGTGCGGTACCGCACTTCTTCTTTGTCCTTTTTTTTAAAGCACTGTTGTGTTACACATGCAAAGTTCTTGTTGGAAGGGATTTTGAAGAGTACTGGGATGATGAAGTCCTTTAATGGTTCAGGCTTCGATGTAGATGGCCGTAATCTGTCGGCTGTCGCAATCTGGTAAAAGTTGACATTAAGCGATCGGCGATTTGCCAGTTGTTGACATAATTATAGCGCGGTTTTGTGCTGTGTACAACGCTTTTGCTCTTCGAATTACCCTAATTTCACGCGTACAAGGCGCGGGGTGGTCCTAGCTTTCGTCGAGCTGCTCAGCCGCCCCAACGTGTGATCCTTCTGCCACGATTCGTCAGGCAAAACGCAGCACGATATGGGGTTCCGTTGGTTGCGAAGTCCTTTGCCGTGTTCGGGCTGGTCGATGAAAGAGCTAGGACCACCCCGCGCCTTGTACGCGTGAAATTAGGGTAAATTAACAGGTGCCGCTTATTCAGATGGAGTGCATATACAGCGATTACCTGACACTTTAACATGCAATGGAATTAAGTGAAATATGCTTGGTGATTGGATTGTAGAGGTTTTTTCAAGCGACATGAAAAAACTTTTTTGTGCTCAGCTTTTGAAAATTGATGCTCTTTAGATTCAACTTTGAAATATTAGAAAATGAAAATGTGATGACACCTAGGCTCTCGAAAACCTGTTGAACGACGAGGGGTAGGGGAACGCATAGCGCTTTCATGTATCACCTCTCTGTACAATGTTCCTTTTACACATGTTGTTGCATGCTGTGTGAGAGGCAGTAGTCCGCGGAGGCGGCGAGCGTAGGCGGTCTCTCATTTCCCTGTCTTGCAAACTCTTGGTTTCAGCTGAGCTGCGACAGACGACAATGATCCAAACCGTATTAGATCACCACTAAAGTTGATTTATTTGTTTTGTGAAGGATTATGTCTTTTTCGAGTTATCTCATTTCTTCAGATGATCGCTTTGGTGATTCCGATGGCTTCAGGAATCGTACAGGTCAGATTAGAATTCCGCATCCTCATCTCGTAACTATCTCAAAGCTTCTAGGTGATCGTGGTTTCAACGACTCTAGGAATGATCGAGGATTTGGAAATAGCCCAAACAGAGGATTTGGTCAAGACCGACGACAAGGGCCTGGTGGTGGCGATCGGGGACCAAGAGGAAACAGAGATGACTTCTCACCAAATGGTGATCGCGGTTTTGGTAAACGTGGCCGTAACAATAATGGCTTTGGTCGGGACGATGGAGGATTTGGTCGGAATAATGGAGGATTCGGTCGAAGAGATGGCGGATTTGATCGAAACGATGGTGGCTTCGGCCGAAACGAAGGCGGGTTTGGTCGAAGCGATGGCGGTGGATTCGGTCGAAGCGACGGTGGTGGATTCGGTAGGAACGAAGGCGGTGGTCGAAATGGAGGCGGATTCGGTCGGGGCGATTTTTCTGGCTATGGCAATCGTGACGGTCCATCATTTGGCGGTGGAAGAAACGATGTTAGTTTGAACCTCCAGCTTATCTGTTGTATAATGTTCTGCATTGTGCATTCCAGAGGAACCAGCGTGGCCCGAGAGAATTTGTACCTGGAGGTCCTTATAACGAAGGTGTGTGGGTATGAACATTAAGCGACTGCCTTAGCCTTTGCAGATAGAAGACGTGCTCCAAGGGATTGGAATCCGGAAGAAAACTCCGTCGAAACACTGTTTGAGCGTGATGCCTTGAATGCCGAATATTTCGACAAAGACCGCGATGATCCCGTTACTATTGAGGGTGATGATGAAGACTGTCAGATAAAGTAAGATTTCAGAGTCTTTTCGACACTATTGGTGCATAATGGCGCAATGTATGAATGCATTTTCCCATTACACTTGTTGCTTTTATCCGTCCTCCGAATTTCGCGTTTTTGTTTAGGAACTGGGAGAACAGCGGACTGAATCCGCGGTTGATCCAAACATGCGTCGAAAATTGTCGATACAAATATGTTCGACCTATTCAAGCCGCAGTCATACCAATGGTGAGATCTTTCAATCATAGCATCAGATATGTCGTGTTTGCTCCAGGTCCTACGAGGTAAAGATGTTATGGGTCATGCCGAAACCGGAGGCGGCAAAACTGCAGCTTTTGTGCTACCTATACTACACTACGTGAGGCTGCAGCGTATCAGCGTATTATCGTTTGATATCAGTTTGAAGCCTTTCCAGATTATGGGCCTCGATAATGGCTCCCGTGACAACAAAGGAGGCAAAATTGTCGCCTTAGTGGTAGCACCTACCAGAGAGTTAGCAAAACAGCTCTTCGATTCTTTTAGAAAGCACGCGCATCGTAAGCTTACTTAATTTGTGGATTCAACGCTTGAATTTTTCTTTCATTCAGAAACCGATGTGAAATGTTGCGTAGCTTACGGTGAAATTGCGAGGTTCAAGAATCTCACGGACATCCACAAAGGTTGTGATGTTCTCGTTGGAACTAGTGGAAGACTTATGGACTTCATACAAAAAGGAGATGTAAGTATATCTCAACAGTTTGTTCTTCATACTGCGTTGTTTTGAGCTTGAGATTGTTTCTAAGTCATGTTTATTCTTGTTTCTTCTATTTTTTGTGCCTCACGTGTTTTGGAATTTGGTCATTTAGCAGCGATGAGCTCTGCGTTTAGTTGTCCCTTATCTAGTGTTCCGTCTACATCATACTTTGGACGTATGGCCTTGGGCATGTTTCCAGTTTCAGTCCAGCTGTAGCAATTTGCTAGATGTCTTCACTTACATTCGCAGGCTACATATGCATATTGTGTATAACTTTTAGGCTGCGTTCATGCTAATTCCGAAGTTCGGGAACAGTTCCAGCACAGCGCTCAAAGTGAGCGCCGTACTGGAACTGTTCTCAAGCTTTGGCATCCGTATGAACGCACCCTTATAGGTGATAAAATGCTCCAGCTTTTGCACATACAGAATGCGCTCACATTCAGTTATGAAGAGTTGGGATATTGCGCCAAGTCTCGGCCACTGAAGTTGCGTAAAGTATCTATGATTGAGGCTGTCTGTCATATTATTTCGCGCGACATGTAAGAGATGGTGAGTTCTGGGATTGGGATAGGCCACCAACGCGCATTATGTACCTAGTTTCCGTTTTCCTCGCCTTTGCGCTAAATGTAATCTCTGCCGTACGTTAGAGAGGTGACCGTCCATCGGGTAGCGGGGTCTGAATTGTTGAACTTGGGACCAGATAGCGCCGCAAAGGGTTAAGTGTGATTTTTGTTGCCCTCACCGTACTTAGCGTTGTTTGAACTGCGAAATCTGACGGGTTCTGACTTGTTACACAAAGCCATTTTTATCCGTGACTATATATATATATTCGTGGAATCGCTTGATAATCCAGAGTTTCGCTGTGGAGGAAGTTGTTTTGTTCAGGTCAACTTGTCACAAATGAAGTTTCTTGTACTGGACGAGGCGGATATGCTGCTCAGGGATGGACGAGATAGCCATTTGGAAGTTATTCTTTCGGACTCAAAGTTTCCTTCTGTCAGTTCCACCGGTGCTTATTCCCCGCTCATGCAGGCGCAATCTTTTTCAGATCGAGAAGCGCCAAACGCTGTTATTTAGCGCGACATTCCCACCAGATGTAACAGAACTAGCGAGGAAAGTTCTGAAGAACAGGTAGGTGATTCATTTTTGAGTGGACTATATTCATTACGTTCCATTCAGTTATGTGAAAGTCTCCAACGGAGCCAGAGGTAGGGCGAATGCACGTGTGAAGCAAGAATTTGTACAGGCGACTGGAATCTGTGAGAAAAATGCTAAACTGTTTGGAATGCTAGAAGAGCAGAGAGATAAACTTGCCAAAGGTGAGTTTTTGAGATTCCGTTATCGCAGCATCGTTTATATCTGCTTGAGATGGTACAATAATGCGAACTCTTGTCTTTGTTGAAACGAAGAAGCAAGCGGACTTCGTCGCCCTGATGCTTACCGATAAGAACATAAAAGCAGCCAGCATTAATGGGTAAGTAAAGCTTCTTCATGTGCATATTTCTATGCTCTGTAATTACAGCGATCGACCTCAAAATGAACGTGAACGGGTCATCAAACAGTTCCGTGAAGGTGCTGTCCACGTTTTGGTTGGGACGGATGTGTGTCAACGGTAAGGCTTAGCCTTTTGCTCTACCTCTTCACCTTTCACAACTTTTTTTTAGTGGACTTGATATCCCTGCGCTTGAACAGGTGATCAATTATGATATGCCAAATGGAACTCCAGAAGAAGTGAGACAAAATTGAACCCATTGCTAATTTCAAAAAAAAAATTTTTTTTAAGGCCCGCGATAAGTATATTCACCGCATTGGTAGAACGGGTCGATTGTACAATGGTGTCGCCGTAACTTTTGTAGACACCAATAACAATGATCGCAGCGTGATGAAACTTATGGTAGATGTGAGTTTGGCTCTATCTCGGAATTATAATATTGTACTTTCTCCTTTATGATCATAAGTACAAGAAATTCTTCTGAAAATTTATCTAGGTGGCTAAAGAAACGGGTCAAGAAGTGCCTGATTGGCTAGAGAATATGGCCAAGACAGACAGCTTCTCATCTGCTGGCTTCGGTCCAGCTAAGAGCGAAGGAAACAGCGGGGGATTTGGAAGCTCGGGATTCGGCACATCAGGATTCGGTGCCAGCACTTCCGGATTTGGTGGAGGTGGCTTTGGAAGTGGAAGTGGTTTCGGAGAAAATGCTGAAGGATTCGGAGGTATCAAATTCTCATCCAATGTAACATTGTTAACTTCCGCAATTCAGGGACGAAAATGGAGAAGAAAGATGGAGAATCTGAAAAGAAAGAATTTGGATCAGGAGGCTTCGGAGAAGGTTCGTTGATATGATTGTTTCTGCATGACTGTGAGTGCTTTTGCAGGTGTAAAGAAAATGGAGAATAAAGAGAATGATGATAGTGAGGAAAAGGAAAAATCTGGTTCTCCTGCCCCGCCCGCTGAGAATCCCCCAGACAAAGGTAATATTGTTCTTTTCTTTTCCCGTTTGGAACATTTTTAATTATGTCTCGTGATCTTGAACAGTTCTCAACTTTTCTGATAATAATTATCTCGTTGAAAGTTTTGTTTGCGCCCCAAAAAGATTTAGCTTTTGGTTAATGCAGCTGTAGTAATTTTTTTCGCTAAACGCCACGAGGGGTGTAGAACGGGCGCCACCATATTTCAGTAAAACCGCCTGAAATCTCTGAAAAGAGATCATCATCTTGTGTCGTTTTGTAGAAGCGCCGAAAGAAGGCGAAGAAGAAGAAGACGAATGGTGAGCGCTTGAAATATCTCGATAACGAGTCTGCGGGGATGAAGAAGATCTAAGTAGCACAATCAGTTTATTCTCATCAGTATCGGTTGCATACTTGCCTCAAAGTGCCTCAGTATGACGAATCACTTTGTAAATGACTTTTTTCTTGGTTATTTTGATTTTTATGAAGTTCATTATTCGGCATCTTTTTTAATTTGTTCATTTGTTGAAGCATTTTTGCGACGTTTTTATATCGTCATCAAGTTTTGTGCTCTTATAAATCCGTGTTGTCGCTTAGCTTTAAACAACTGCTAGTTCCGGTTATTCTGTTTTCATTCCAAGGATGAAAATAAAATTCATCGCATTTTGTTCTTGTTATGCATATAGTTCGCAAGCAAGATATAATTGTTATTGTTTATTTTCACTTTTCATGGAACTTTTCTTTCCATCAAATAGTGTAATATCCGTCGTGCTTCTCGTTCTCCGGATTCGTAGGCCCCTATCGTAGTCTGGTACATAGTAGGATGTGTATGCTCCCCCGCAAAACACAGTATTGGTCTAAAATTATTCAATAATGACCTAAAATAGATAAGACTTGAAACTGCGCTCACTTTTTATCTATGGTAATAGGCTCAGACATCGCTGAAAATGCATCAGGAACATGTTGGACTGTTTCTGGCGTCAGATACGAATAGCTGCCACCAATCAAGGGGTCCTTGATCCAGTTATGCCTGCAATGCTCGGTTTTCGCAAATGGATTTGTTATTTGAAGTCGAGTTAGGATGGAGCGCAGGTGGACCGCGTTGGCTAACACGGTCCACCAGCGCGGACAGCTGAAACTAGGCTGTGATTTATAGAGCCTGGTTTGTCACAGTCGTCACGCTTGTCCACGCAGGACATCCCACCCTTTTGGGACATGTATAATGTCAGTTATCGTCACATCCTACAACCTTCCGGGCTTACCTAAATACCCTTATCGGTTGTGGTATCGTTACATTATCAAGAGCTTCTCGCAGATGTTGGGTGATACCAACTGCAAGCTCCTCATCTTCAAGCTCGCTTACGACTGAGGGTCCGTTGCCGGATACCCATGCTACGAGCATCTGAAAAAGAACTTAAAACGAATATGAACTTGTGAAACTCTTGTTTTAGTGCCGTTGCGGTGCCGACAACATTTGCACGGAAAGAATGACCATGAGGCGCATATCTCCAGGATGTGGCCTGTACGGCTATATTCACGCGCAAATGTTGTTGTCACCGTTGGAGCACTAGATTGATCGTGTGATACTGGATTATAACTATACCTTATTGTTCCAATGGAGTGGTTGAAATACTGGAAATGATTCAGCAAGCGGACTGCTAGAAGATAGTGATGCTATCGCATCCACGTGTAGTGGCCACCATGGTTTCGAATATTCCAGAAATACCTTCATCATGTTGCCAAAACCTAGAATGGAGTTAAACGGTTGCAGATTTTTTGAGCGCTAACCTTCGATTTAGCCGGCTTGGCGGCTGGAAGGCGGGGCCTTGTGATCTAGTTAAAGGCATTGTCCAGGTCAAATGGGGAGTAGTGGGATTTTGACGCAGTGCGGGAGCACGGCTCCTGACTAATGGACCAGTTCAAATCCGACCGAAAAAGGTGGATTTTGAAGCTAGAAAAGCGCTTCGGAAGAAAGGGGCGGTCCGCTAATCCCGCCTCCTTGACAAGTTTTGACGAGGCGAATGCTGTAGGTTCAATGTATAAACCACGTCAAAACTTGTCAAGGGGGCGGGATTGGCGGACCGCCCCTTTATTCCCGCTTTTTTTCCGGAGCGATTTTCTCGCTTCAGAATCCACCTTTTTCGATTGGACTTGGACTGTTGCATTAGTCAGGAGCCGTGCTCCCGCACTGCGTCAAAATCCCACTACCCCCCAGTTGACCTGGACAATGCCTTTAAAGGCAGCGTCCGGGCAAGATCCATCCACCCAGGTTAGCACATAGTTGTAAAGAGGGGCCCATGAGTATCCGATCTGCGTTGGTCCGAATCTTTGAAGTGGCCTCCAAAAGGAGATACGGGCCTGTGATACGTATCACAAAGTGCCCCTTCGTATCACAAACCACCGCTCAGGACGAGTGCTCACGCAGGTTTGCGGTTGCATTGCAGTTGCATTGCAGTTGCACTACATACTGCGATGCAACGGTATCCGTGCAGTTGCAGCTCCTCCCGCTGGCATGCGATGGGGACGAGCAATCCGAAACTCGTCCGCTTCTTAAAGAGAGGGTCCCCAAGAATCGGGTTTTTTGGGGGTGTTGAACAATTTGGACTTTACAACTGTATTCACGGCCACGGGAAGGCCCCAGAATGGCAGAAACATGAGAGGCGAAATTTTGCCCGGACGCTGCCTTTAAGGCCGCTCGCACGCGCGACGCAGTCTGCGTCTCTCTCGCGCGCACGTTCTCGTCTATCTCGCCTTAATTAGGTCATGAAGCCCCGCCTTTCAGCCGCCAAGCTAGTTGAATCAAAGGGTACATGCATCAACAGAGCAGGGATTGCAGTGGGAGAGAGAAGAGTACTGAAACAGCATCACTATCTATTAAACTCAAAATACATTTAATTTGATAATGACGGCTGTTCTTGGTTTAGATGAATTTCAGTTGTTATTTCCGTGCGGAAAAAATCGTCCTTCTTACCTAACTTTGTAATGGCGTTGATCTTGGCCGAATGCAGAGCAGGAGAAAAGAAGGTGCTATGATTTTTCTTCAAGAAGCCGAGAGGACATGTGATGATGACGTGGTCATAGCGAAGGGATTCACCATTATTTATATTCAGAATCACTCCTTCAACTGAAAAATGGCATTATCAAAATTGGAATGACCAGATCGAAAAAGCATCAAAATCCTTTACAAGTTAGGTCGTAAATCACACCCAGTGGCCGTATACTTCAACGAACCCAGTGGGTTCCGCTACCCAGCGGGTAAGCGAAAACGGTGCACTGGGTCGAATCGATATTCACAAAAAGCAGTGGTGGGTTCGCGAACCCACTAGTTTTGTGAATACTGATCTCGCGGGTTAAGCCTACCCAGTGGGTTCCGGAACCCTGGGTTCGTTGATGATTACGGCCACAGTTTTCATGAAACTTCTGCGGAATTTCTCAAAACGAAGTCTAATTTTGAGTGTTCAAAGATGAAGTTGCCCTGAAAAGCTGCGGTGAATGTATTACGCTTTTTTTGAAGGTTGTAGGCTTGAAGCATTTTGGGAAGCATCTTGAATTTTTTAAGAAATGCCCTTTTGAAAATTAAAATTGGAATGCGCCAGTGGCTTAAGATCTATAGATAAGAAAGGAGCAGCTTTTCAATTTTTAGCTCAATGTAGTCCGTTTCAAACGGCTTGCTAGCCTGATTTCACAAATGTTTAAGCAAGAACGAGCTGTTATGGTTTATTTCATATGGAAATGCTTGAAAGTATTCTTACATACCTCCAAACTTCAAGCGTTTCGCGGTTAGCCCATCTTTAGACCTTTGCAAACAAAGAAGAGGAAGAAAGAAGAAATTAAGATTTCACAAATTGTTCTTCTAAGTTCGACATCCATCGTGTGCAATCCTAACAAATAAGTACTGCGAACCTCCCATAAGGAAAGGATACCAACATAATTTAGCGATTGAAGACGTTATGTCCTAACCTCAATTCTAAATCTGCTTTCCTTTTTGCGGAACAACTTTCCGAAAGAAGTTATATATGTTCGAATGTCCAAATTTGCCAAGCTTCAAGTGGCCTATAATTAACGAAAAGCTTCACAAAAACATCTATATGTGATTAATCACCTTTGTATCAAGTATGTTGTCTGCAAGGAAGGAAAGCCGGCCGAAGGAAAGCGTATGAGTGTTTTTTTACAGTTTCGCCAATTTTAAGCCACTCATTGCTTGACAAGTTTGGATATTCAAACGCTCATGCTTTCTTTGGGAGTTGTTCCGCAAGAAAAGGAAAGCAGATTTGGAATGTATCCTTCCTTTATCAGTTGAATGCTGAAATGTTGTAATCAAGCTCTACATGAGCTTAAATTTAGCGTTGTTTCAATTCTCTCAAAAAAAAAACCATGAGTATTTGGAGATGCCAGTATGTGAAGATTTGCTGCCGTAGTTTGAATCCTAGTCGCCAAGAAAAATTACCTGAATAGTCCACCCTTTCCACTGTGCAATTCACTTTGATTTTGTCACCAGAAACTTTCGCGGCAATCTCATCCAATATGTCTTTGAATCCTCTTTTCTTTAGCATAAGGGAAGCCGCCTCAATGTTTCCATCATCCCATTCGGCAAAATTAAGAAGAGCTAGCTGGAAGGTACATAATCACTTGCAATTAACAAGGCTGTCATTTGTGGACGAAAGATATGTAAGGTGAGCAAAAAAGAACTTTTCTTACCTCTTTAGCCGGTGAAGACCATTCTATTTCATAGTATGTGAGATAGAATCGCGCAAGTTGGTCGAAAATTGGCCTGTCTTTTTCCAGTATAGAATCTGTCTGAATTTGTTCATTTCGTTTGCTTTTCTTTTGTTTTTGTAATTTGTCAAAAATTTTTCTTATGGTTGTAAATTATTAGCCCATTTTTTTGCATTCCAATATGTCTGTGTTCTTATAAAGCTGCATTTCTTTTTACTTTTATTAGGCTGGAAACTAAGTTTTGCAACTGGTTTCATAACTTCATTCTCTTTGGATATGGCGCACTCAAACTTTGGCATTATATAGAAGGCAATGTGAGCTACAAGAGAGCACAAATTGTCTAAATTTTGAACACGAAATAGAAAAGTTTCAGGCGTTTTTCGAAAACTAGTGAAATTTAAGAATTTTTGGGGTTTCAAGCTAAAATGAATCCTTTGGCAGCCTAGACCATGCGCAGTAATCCGGATTCGTCTACAAATTATTGCTGGAGGTTGACTCCTTTGGCCTATTAAGAAAGAAACAAAATTTAGAGGCATGCCGAGATTTGGCGTCCTCATAAAGTCGAACGAGTAGATGTACGCAAGAGCCGCTGGGGACGACCGTCAATGACTAAAAAGTCCGAGGCTCAAATTCCGCCGAGACTTTACATAGTAAGGTTACTTGACCTGCCAAACGCGAATATCGTATTCATTTGTTGAATCAACGCCATTTTCCTTGTTTAGGGTGAGACCCCGTATCGTACACCTACAGTAATCCTACAAAAAAGCCCCTATCACACAATTTCACTATCGTTTTCGTGATCAGCATGTCGGATAAGACCCCTATGCCAAGTTTCAGCCAAATTCGTCAAACTTTGAATTTTTCCCCTTCATACCATGCACCTACCGTAACCCTCTCTCACTGCGACCTAGAATTTGGTACGACAGCAGCTGCGCTTGTAGCTTACGTAATAACCAACGCAGTGGCAAAATTTGAGTGTGCCATCTTGAGTGAAAGGAAAGTTATGAGACCAGTTGCAAAACTTAGTTTCCAACCTAATAAAAGCTAAGCTTGATGGTTCTAAACAGTTCTCGGCAGCTGGCATCAGAGAATTTTCAAAACGAACTCCTACTTGACTTTTGCTAAGTTTTACGAAGTTCCCTTCGAGACTAAACCCTAAATTGAAAACCCCGTCGACTAAAAAAAAAGTCGCGATTTTTACGACTTTTGGGCCACAAAAATGATATCCCCTTTGCTTTTTGCTCCAAGAACGATATCCATGTTGCCCCGTGCCAGCTGGTGCCAGGCCCTGGTTTCAAATAAAACAAGAAGCTAATACGCTCAAACTTTTTTTCCACAATGATATTCAGAGATTCTGACACGGCTTACCGTAATCCATTGCTCGTAAAGCTCTTGAAATCTATCCGCTACGCTTAAATCACCACGCTCTTCCGCTTCTTCAGCGAATTGTTGCTCAATGTCGCTGACAAAATCCAGCCAGGTCTTGATTATAGCTCTAGATGAAGTACTTCATGAAAAGAAATTTTGGTGAATTTGTTTTGTTTGAGCATCTCAATGCTTTACTGCTCCGAAGTTTCTGTTCAGAAAATTGCTGGAAATTTTTCTCAGATCTACTTATTATTGTAAGAAGTTTTTTCGACAATGATGCAGCGGCAGACTAAAAAAAGAGGGGGGGGGGAATGCGCCACAGAAATTGATTTTGAATAAATGGGCAAGTCAACCGGAAAGGTAATCGAAATGCCTCCCAGATTTGCGGTCCTTAAACCAGAAGGAACTTTTTTTTACAAAAGTGATCTGTATTTTTGGAAATTTCTGAAAATTATTTTAAATTGCACGTCGAAACAAATCACTAGCATAATTTTGTGAATACGTACGATAATTTTCAAGAATTCTTTGATTGTTGAAAAATTTTCTCGCAGTAGTAGCTCAAGAATTTCTTGGACTGCCACCACAGTAATGAATGAATACCTGTTGTTTATCAAGAAAAAAAAATAAATAAAGGAAAATTGAGGTTTAATGTCCGTATTTTCGAGCATAACGCATTCATTGAAATGTATAACGTGAAATACTGAGCATTTTCGGTTTCAGCAGCTATTTATTAATAGAATAATTTTGATGACGATGATTAGCCTTTGATGATGCTGCATTTTGTGCGAACTCACTTTTCAACTCGTTCACCATTGATGCCATACTGCACGTTTCCAGAGAAAAGATCGAAGTCTTTCGTATCTCGTAAAGCCAGTTGTTTCTTCTCAGCTATTCGAAAAATTTCGTGATTCTTACCATTGATGAACTCAGCACCATGTTGGAGGTAACCATCTTCTAAAAATAAAGCATTATTTAGCAGTGTTGAGAAAAAAGGACCACTGCGATTGTGATTGATGTTATTAAGTGTCTCGTTTTCCTATTTCTTGAATTTTTGTTTACAAGCAGATCTCTATCACATTATTCTCATGACATTCCCATAATATAGGCGCCTTTTATTTGTTCGGAATGCTCATATTTATAGTCTGATAAATTTTGGTCGCATAGATTAGGCGTGTATACTTATCGTGCGTGTGATTTCCTTACTCACCCTCTCTGCTCTTCATCTGCTAGCTCAGTCTGTCTATTTTTTTTTACGGACATGACTTTCTATAGCTGTAAAATAGATCAGTGTGACAATAAAAAATTACTTGCAATTTTATTTTTTAAGGTTCTGACGCTTTCTAACTATCCTTAGAGATGGATTGTCTCAAAAATCTCTCAGATAGAATTTTGGCATCCTCTTGACTCTCAAAGCTCGCAGACTTTCCGTTTGAACCCACTTACGACCGTTTCGGAATCGACTAGTAATGTTTTTCTTGACTGCATCATTTTCATGATAGATATATATCTATCTTTCATTTCTAATTCACTACAAAAAACTTTTCTATCGCAAAACTTGGGCATATTGTAATTTGATTTGTATTTTGGAGCTATACTGATTTGTTATAACCTTTAAATTCAATTAGAAAGTCATAACTAACTTAGTGGCTCAACAATATAGATGATACAAAAAAGACTATTTTCAACAGCTAGGACTGAGCTAGGACGGATCACCAATATTCTTTGCTTAAAACCAGCAATCCAATCACGATTTTGTGTAGAAATTGAAACTGCCCATTATAGTCGGAGGTGGGAGGGGGGGAGTTCATTTTGGATTTTTGAACTACATTATCAAGATAACATTTGTCTCCTCTGTATTGCTGACCCACAAGCATATAGTCTTGGCTGGCAACCATAGGAACATTGTTGATAGCTTATCTCTTTTGAGGTGTTAGTATCAAATAAGCGGAAGCGCATCATAACTCCACTATCTTATCTTGACCTATTTAAATAAACCTATTTTTAGTTTTTGTAACATAAAAAATTAAGCGAACCGTAGGGAACCGGATAAACTCGTCCTCCTATTCGATCAGCACCCTCGTATACGATATAATCTACAGAGTGCTTTTCGAGTACAGCTGCCGCAGAGAGACCAGCGAAACCGGCACCGATGATGGCCACCTGGGCTCCTGGCGTTGGCTAAATAAGACTATTTTGAAATAAAAAGAAAAATGAAATGCTAAGAAAAATTCTTCAACTGTTCATAGTATTTATTCATGATAAACTCATTTTTGCATGGAAAAAAATTGGAAAATATTCAGTCATGCGTATCAGATGTTATTTTGAAGGTTGACAGCAAAAGCCAAAATAATGGAAAAGAAAAATATGCGTATGTATTTTATTATTGCTCGATATGTTATCCCATTGCAATTTACGAGAAAGCATAGAGCATTTGATGAAAAAAAAGTCTTGCTTGATTGCGTCAATAGGTATGGAACTACTGTCGTCCAAAAATGTTGAGTTATGGTTAAGTGGGAAAAGCCTGAAAAATTAGCGATAACTTGGAAAAGTAAAATTTTCAAGGAAAGAGGGTTTCACTGGCTGCGGTTAATTTTCAGTCTGTTCTGAAACTTCAAATCCTTCCCGGGTTTATTTTATCAACTAAAAGTGAGAGGAAAAATATCCAACAATAAAAATAGCTTAAAAAAAGTAACATTGCAGAATTTTTTTTGGATATGGCAAATTTAGTGAAAAAATCGAGAAACCTACCATCAACGATGGCCAAGTACAACGTTATGCGCGATGCTATCTCTGGTCGTAAATAGAACAAATAGTTAGAGATATCGTGGACAGGTGCGACATAAGGTCAACTCAACTACATAATTTACGATAACACTTATGTCTACTTTCGCGCATTTGAGGCCTTGTCTGACCGAACAGGCGTTGAGAAAGAAGTTCTAGCATCAAGAAATTTCAGGAGTTAAGCTTAATTTGGTTCAAGCATTTACAATTGAAAAGAGCCAATATTTTGCACTGTCTATTCTAAAAGTTCTCACCTAGACATTTTTATTACACAGTGGTTGTTTGATATGGCAGTAAGCAAGTCTGCAATATTGAGGGAATGAAGACTACTCCGATTTGAATGGATTTTCAATTTTAATTTCTCCACTTTCTTCAATTCTCCAATCTCAAAAAACCTCTTGGAAACTAGGAAATAGTTATTTCCACAGTAATTAGGTTGTAACAGAATTAATGCAGGTTTTCTGAATTTTGTGTTTGGATCACTATAACTTTTTACACAAGTAGTCTTTTCGTGTGCAGCAAGAATTGTTGTAATTAGCAAACCTTTCTCAACTCAATTTGCATTATTTTGTTGTTGTAGCTTCATTGAGAAAAATCTTATGGCCCGAATTCTGCCAAGAATTTTTTCGGAAAACCTTCACTTTAAGAGACCATAACTTACTATCAAATGTAGTAAGGTAGCGCAAATATAACTCACTGTGTAGTCTATGATCGGTTGTGCAGCAGGGCTAAATTCGGAATTGAAAAAGAATTCTTTGCGAGAGGATATTTGAAAAATTTTTGAAAGTACTCATTTTTTCGACTTTTCTGAGAATTTGAAAAATCGCTTTTCTGGAACTTTTGAATTTTTTCAAAGCTAAATAGGGAAAACGGCTCCCGATTTTTTCAGCCATAAATGTCTTAAACCTATTCTTCCTATGTAAAGCCGAAGCTCCGCAGTCGCTTCGCGCTGAGGATTTTTATGTAGGGCAGACAGACCACAGCGACCGTTGAATTTTGCTCTGAAATTTCTCGGCTCAGATGTTTTTAGAATTCATGATTCAGCATGCATTTTTTAACATAGCTCACTCAAAAATAATATGTAAATTTGCAGCGAATTCCGATTGTTTCTGGTGGTTTTAGAGCCAGGTATGATGAGAGAGAGAATTTCGAGGTTTGGTTTCTTGAGTTCATGGGCTCAGAACTTCTAGACAAATTCACTTCCACTGCAACGAAAGAATGCATAAGAAATTAGAAGAAAAGAGCTTTCAAATGACATGCAAGACTCTCTGGAAAGACAGTTTTTCTTTCTAAACCAGCATTCCGAAAAAGGTGAGCGAAAAATCTGCATTAATTCTGTTACAACCTAATACATGGATCTTTATCAGAAATGATGTGATAAATTTTGAATAAATTTATTTTCTGTGATTGGTAAATGCACCTTGGAGTTTATGACAAATTTATCTTACATTCAGTTGCTCTGCAGGTTTACTTATTTTATGTGAACCTTGAGTTTTTTGAATGCATTGTAAAAGGCGGCAAGTAAATCTTTAAAGACGGGAGCTTACTAGAATAAACCCGAGCGGAGCCGTGTATATGAAGTACGCATATTTTTCCGAATAAGTATCGATTAGCATGATTTTTGAGTCCGTAACCTATCGTTGTTAGCCTTTAACAGTTCCTCCTTTCCAAAAAGTACGGAAACGATTCTTTGTTCTCTGTGCAGTACGCTAATGATCACCTGCGTTCACAGTCTTGAAAAAGTTGTTTTCTTTCGCGAAGTCTCCGCGGTTTTCGAGATCGCCATGTGACTATACTTATAAACGCTATGGAATATAAATCTCATTTTTGAGCGTTTACGGACACATGCTGGAACTTCTGCAGCCTTTCGGACCAGAACTAGGCTGGGTTTTCGAAACGAGGCGAGGACCTAGATCTCCGCTTTTTTTGTTTATTCATAGGAACCAATCATTGTAATTATCATTTCTGCAATACCTCTTTATTCAACAGGTCCACTACAACGTCAGTTGTTAAAGGCAGTGGCTCGGCAAATCGCAACCTAGTCAAATTTTTGCTTGCCTGGGGGTTATTCAATACGCTGATTCCGAAAATCTACTTTAGAGAGCTTGAAAACGGCGAAAACATGCGTTTTTGAACGCCCTTCCTTTTGAAGTTGGACGAGTGGAGCAAGGCTGAACGCTGAATCGTTGCAGGACCCAATGGTTATAACACTGCGGCGGGTAGCCTCCAATGGTGGGAAGGAAATTGCCAACTCGTCCGGGCGCGTGTAAGATTGGCTTGCGCGTGTAAGTTTGAGAGCAGTTTTCTCGGCAGGGAAAGCATGCTGTGCAACCGCGATTGCACTGTTTTCATAATTGGGCGATAAGGAACCCACTGCGTTAAAGTCCTGCGTTGTTAAGTTTTGCCCATTCACTGCCTTTAAGTAAGCACAGGAAATTGGTCGAAGAACATGTTGGCGGTTAGCGAACGCGGCTCAAGCCCAAGCGAGGCCAGATTTCAGCCGCTCGAGATAGTGAGCCGGAGGAACCGTCTAAATGATCGGATTCAAGCACTCTGTACCATACCGCTCAAAGCTTGTGACAAACAACTGACCGCCGGAGCTGTTGAAATTTGGGTCATAATCCTAAGAAGGGAATGGTCAGAAGTCGAAGTGGCCAATCCAAGCAAGCTGCCTACCATTCGATGCAGCATTCAATGCTAATTTCGAATCTGTATTCCTTATCTGCTTGGCGCCTCTGTAGACGAAGTTATGGGCAGTTTATTGCGAAAAACTGAGGACATTGTTGCAATTTCAACTCACCTTCAGGCTCTAAAAATTTAAGGTAACCTAGTTACATGTTTCGGCCCACCATTAAGCCGGACATGACTCTGTACTGCCAAATTTGCGCTTTGCATGCGCGATTTCTTAGCAAGATAACGATTTTAACAGCTTATAACTGGGCCCACATAGGCGCTAAGCAGTTATGGAATACAGTTTCGAAGTCAGCGTTTTATGTTGCATCTAATGGTATGCGGCTTGTTTGGATTGGCCACTTCCATTTCTGACCTTTTTTTCGTAGGTATAAAGGCGCCATTTAGCTCCGCTCCTGATGTGTAAAATGCCTACCATTATATCACGACTAGGAGGCGTGAGACCGCATTGCACACATTGTCTAAACGAGTCTAATCGTGTGCTTACCAGGTTTATACTTGTTACTTATTTCGTCCAGGTTTATTCATTCTTTAAAACCAGGGAAGAACAAACTCAAACTTGTTAGAACAATGTCCACAATGCGATCTCGCGTCTCCTAGTCATAGAATAAATACTAAATGGTTAACAGTAGATAACCAGTTTGCAGAAGCAGCTAACGTGGAACATGTTGTTCATCAACACAAGGTAACCTACCACAGGCACATCTGAAATGGTTTTTGAGAAATGGCTAACGGCTAAGAGACACAGCTTGTAATTGTAAGTCATCGCTGGAACTCCGTAGCCCCATGGTAGGCTAGAACAACAACAAAATGTGCGTTCACAAATGTGAAGTCTGCCATAAAGAGCGGGATAAGGAGGACTCCGCTTTTAGTGAAAAGACGAAAAAAGGGCCTAAAATTATTGTCCGAGAGCTACAAAGCAGCGATAATCACCGGACGATGATTGCTAAGGGCGATGGGGGAAAATTGACATAGGCACTAACACGAGGTAAGTGATATGTACAACAGCGTGCTCCCACCATTTATGGCAGAGGTTGTAGTGTGGGGTATAAATATGGATGTCTGATATGTTTCTTATGATATGCATAACTAGGAAGTTAATTGAAACAGCGGAGAAGTACTTTAGTTTCCTAAGTGGTCTTGATACTCGACGTCGACCTGATTTAGAGCCCTCAAATTCAGAATTCGCTCAAGACTGAGATATGAAGATGCGACGTGAATTTTCGCGAACTCCTTTGTCCACAGTTTTTTCTTACTTACTATAATTATCGTATGTAAGTAGGTTGAATACATCTTCAAACTCATTCTTCAGACCGCCCACACTGATGGGCGGAGTGGCCTTGGCAGATTACCTTTTGAAGCGATTTTCCCGCCTCGGAATTCGTTTTTATGCAGCAGGACTTGGGCGATTCTCTAATAAGGGCCCCCTATACCAGACCGTCCTCTAAGGAGCATCTCACAACACTGATTAGTTTCTAAAAAATGTCCACGTAAGCTGAGGATGGTGATTTGATGCTGTTTGATAGCGGAGCCCGCTATTTAAGTAACTCAAGTCCCGTTGCAAAAGATGAGTTTTGAAGATAAAATCGCTCCAGAAGGCTCAAGCGGCCAAGATGGGCCCCATTCGTCAACGTGAGGCCTGAAGATAAGTCCAAAACTAGAAATCAATGTAACCTGTCATAAATCAGCCCTTCATTATGATTAAATTCTCAGCATTGCTATCTATCCTAAACAGGTCGGCACAGCTGGCACTGAGTCAAGTCGTTTTTGAGACAAAAAAAGGATATCGTTCGTGGCCGAATAGACAAATTCCGACGTTTTTTCAGTCGACGTTTCGTTTTTTTCAAAGATTTTAACGTTTAGGGTTCAGGATCAAAAGGGGTACGTACGATTTCAAGATCAAAGGGGCTTTTGAAATCTCCCTGGTACCGAGCTCTGACTCTAAAGCCCACTTTCGATCTCATGAATTTAGTATTCCGCTAACGGGCGGAACCACCTTTGCCACTTCTGCCTTCCGAGACAATTTTCTCGCTTCGGAACTCATCTTTTTGCAGCGAGACTTGGACGGTTATTTAGTAAGTGGCTCCATTATCATACAGCATCAAATCTCATCACCCTCAGTTCGCTTGAACATTACCTTTGAGGCAAAAAAGTTGTTCTTACTGTTGTTAGATAGAAAGTTTTTTTGCACAAATACTCCAGCACAATTTTTTCCGCTCTTCGCAGAGTGCAGAAAGAAATGTAACGAGGAAACGCGCATTAAAGTAGCCTTTTCAAGGAACTCACATTAGTCATCTAGGTTGAACTCTTGAAATAGAAATGAAGTATCAGCACGACGGTGTTAAATCTGGGTTGCCGTGAAGTAGGTGAGTAATGATGAAGGGGCTAGGAAAATAGTCTAAAAACTTTGGTTAATTGAAATTCCACGATTGCGGACCAATTCTTCCAAAATAGTTCCTCCCTTTTTGATCTACATATTAGATATTCTCCGTGACATAATTATAAGAAAGTCAATTGAATGTTCTGAAGCAAATTTTTGTATTTTATCAATGGCGCTAGGCGAAGCCGGTAATTAATTTCATTGCTCTCTATAAATAGCCATATATGGTTTCTATGAACTCGTCTTCTGATCATTGGCTACTTATAAAGGTCGCTCTATTTCAAGCAGAACTGGTTTAGGGGCGAGGCAGGGGGTGGGGGGGGGAGTGACGGAGAGCGGTTGTTGTCTGTTGTTGTATGATCGCTTGGGCGCCGCGAAAATCTCTGTCTCACATGTGAAAACGACTGAGATTAGGCTTTTTACACTTTTTCGCGGGATTGGCGTTTTGCCAACTATTATCTTGGATTTTCTGTCGGAGGAATGATTTTTTCCTGATAGATTATTATGTATTAGAAATTACAATTATAATTTGACCGTACTTTTTGAGAATTTTTCACCACTCATACTTTTTCTGGCTCAAATGAACTTATTTTTGATTTTTGCAGCAGTTGAAGTGTTTCAACACCTTAAAGAGCCCTATTTATCACTAGACAGCTACTCACAGCTGGAAACACCACCCTCCGACACTCCATCACCCTCTCCTACATAGCTCAGCAGCTAATGTTTTTGATTCACAACCCGACCGATGTTTTTCGGGGGTTGTTTACCACTATCAGGGGTTGCCTTGAACGTTTATAGTCTCTTTAGTGTCTGATCCATTAGCTGGTTGCTTAAAATTTACTGCCAGATTTTTTTCCTGACGCGTACTTGAGGTCATGGATATTTTTTTTTGAATAATTTATTGTCGTTGGCGAATCAGTGTTTCAAAATCGCAGTGTTTTTTTCTGAGACCAGCTCATTTTCTCCTTTCTGTTTTTTGCGAAAGATGTTCTGTTTATTTTGTAAAAAAGAAGCTTTTGGTGAATTAATGGCCGAAGCATTTTGTAAAGTATATCTATCCTTTCCTATTTTGAGAATCTGAAAAACATTTCCGTAAATTGCATCAAAATTAGTCTTCTATCTGAAATAATTTTTTGCAGCTAATTTTTTTGAAGTTGAAATTTTTGAAATTATTTTGCAGCTGTCATTTTATCAAAAAAATAGAGAGCTCAGCGTTCTTCTTATCTGAACTTCTTGGAAGTCGCATTCACACCTTCCACTTCAAATGATTTGAAAGTTCTTTCGTTATTTCCATCAATGGACATATATTTTCACATTTTCGTCCTATTCCAGCGTTTTTGTAAAAATTTGTTTTTCAGGAACCTTTGCACCCTCCCCCCCCCCCCCCCCCCCCCTCCCATTCTTCCTGTTTTTGCTACACAACTGGCTATACTGCCCTGTATTGACACACTATTTATGCACGATGATTCGTTCAAAATTCCCCAAACTAGAAATACCCGGACTAGCATTTCATGATTTTTTCTTCAAAGCCACGCGTAAATATGCTGCTGAGATCGCTATGGTACGTACATTTTTCGCATTTTTTTTGTTTACAATATTTTTTGATGTCTTATTTTAGCAATGCAAACAAAACTTCGTTTTTTGGCCTTAGAGAACAAAGTCAGCGCAACACATTTTCGAGCATCGGGTTGTTGTTTATGTGATCGCTACACCTGTTTCTTCCCTTTTCGATGATCAGAGATCATCGCATTGACAACATCTGAATGTTTTGTTGTCCCGGAACTGTAGGGGAAGGCTTTTGAGAGTAAGACATGCTGTACTGATGTCAAACACTGATAGATGCGGTAACACTTTGTCATGACAGTCAAAATAATGAACTTTGGCAAAAGGACAGCATTTAGGGAGTAAACATAAAAGTTAGTAAAAAGCACTGATCAAATTGTCAGTACAGAGCAAAAAATTTTGAATTTGATTTTACTTCCTCCCAATTTTTGAGTTTATTTTAGTGTGTGCTGTCTATCCCAGCTAGAAACTGTTTGAAACTAGCAGATATAGCGCACTCACAAAGCAAGGTATGAAGAAAACCTAGAAAAATGAGGAAGAAAACACGAAAATTTAGTCCGCGTTTCAGAAAATCATATCTATTATCTATGTTTTTTCAGGAATATAGTGCAAAATATTATTGCTATTTATCTCATGCTTTTCTAGGTTAATAATGATAAAAAGGAACAGTTCACATTTGCCGAATTGACTCAAAAAGCCAGATTTGTAGCTCGAGCCCTCGTTGCAATGGGTGTCGAAAAAGGCGAGGTAGAAAATTCTTTTTTCGAAATTTTTATTATTATGAATGTTTATTCTCTTAGGTGGTTATTCTCTGCGTGGATAACTCTCCCGAAGCAGTATATCTCTTCCTTGGAATCTCTTTAGCAGGAGCAGTGGCGAGCATACTGTCACCGAAATTGAGTGCAGGTAGGATATATTTTAGCGTTGTGGCGAGGGAACTCCCCCGCCCCCTTTTCCTTCCCCTTCATATGAAAATGGGTCGTGAATTTTAGTTTATGTGTTATTAAATAGTGCAAAACACTTGCTTATATCTGTGAATAATTGCAACAACTTCCAATATCAAATTCAGGATCACTATTTTTGTAATTCTATTCTGAGAAAGTGTTTAGAGTTCAAATGTGCACCTGAGCCTATTTAGTAGTGAAAATTTCTGTCTCTCTCCTGCAAAAGAAATGACCGGCATCATCTTCGGAGCAAATTTTAGGGGTGAGAGCATTTGAAGCGAAATTTCTGCTCACCAAAATGCCTCATTCTCATTTCTCTTCTCTTGATAACTGCTGAGCGGTTTTCACTGGTGGAAGACCATTTGAATGCTGAACTTCATCTAGGAAGTGAATCAGAGGTCATCTGCTAAAAATGCTTTTTTCCTCTGAATCAGCTGTCTTGATATTCAGAGCTAGAAACAGTCGAAACACAACTATCTCAATACGAGATGGCTAGCTATGGAATCTACACTCGCTGCAAAAGTTGCAAAAGGTGTAATATATCTAGTGCGATGGACCCCTTAGGAAAAAAAATTCTGTGAACGTCATTTTACACTGTTAAACAGTGACCATTGCTCTCTTGGCATTTTCAAATGGTTCTTAGCTTTTTTTAGTCCATTGCAAAATGCACATCATTTTCTGCGTTTTGCTCCAAGTGAGAATGTAGGCAGAAGAAGAGATAATGTTCAAAATTGCTGTTTTCCAGAATGATACAGATGAGTGAAACATTTGATGATCTCTAGAGACACGTTTGATACAGAAACAGCGTATCATGTCTATCTCATTCCCAAAATTTACAGAATTTTGGTAAACGTACAGTGTCTAAGGAATAATCAGAGACAAAAGAAACTCGAATAACTTGTGGAAAAAATAGCACAATAAAACAAAGTGAGTGAAGGTACTGCGAGTTATCTATCAAGTTTATCAAATGCCCTTGTCTTAGCAACTTCAAACTTGGGTAGTTTCCTTTGGGTTTCCTATCGTTTTCTGATTTGTTATGATATAATTTCAGAGGATATATCACCTCTTTCTTATCGATTTCGCGTGCTCTTTTTAGATGAAATGCATTTCCAATTTGTCGAATCTGACACAAGGCTCGTCTTTGCTGATCCTGATGCCTTGTTAGAAGTACAGCGGTTGTTTCGCGGGCTCAACAAGGTCCATCGGGTAAGCATTCATCTCCTAAAACGCTTTCTGGGAAAATGTGAGTGTCCTTCAGGTTATCTGCACAGGATCAAGAGATCAAGCTGAAGGCTACCCAATCCTTAATGATCTTCAGTTTGTTTGTGAGTAGTCTAACACTACTGGGCTGAGTCACCCGTTAACTCTTCTTTCTTTTCAGCCAACCTAGGAGTGATTTTGCCACGCATTCAACCTAAGCTCGATATTGTATATATGCCTTTTTCCAGTGGAATTCACGGAAAGCGAAAAGGAATCCTTACCTCGCATTATGTGATGAATGCAAAGACCGTAATCGCGTCCAAGTATGTTGTGCACACACTTTAATTATTTCAAACTTCTTTAATTTTTTTCGAGTTTCAGTCACCACTGCTATATCCAACCTGCCCGTAACGAGTTTACCGTAGCTATGTTGCCCATCTATAGACAATTGGGTCTGGAAGCGATTTTTATATCGCTTCTAGCTGGGGCCACGGTAGTTACCGTATCGAAGTTCTGTGTACATACACTTATGACTTGTATCGATCGGTTTAAGGTAAATTACTCAGCGTCTTCATAATCTTCATTCAGCGTCTTTTATTTGTTATTAATTATATTAATGTGTTGCTAATTATTATTAAATATTTATATATATTTAAAGTTGTATTACATTATTATTTTTATCGCTTATCCGCTTTATTCGAAATCAGGGCCATGTTACAGTATCCACGACACTCCTCCACGGGTACTGTAGCATGGTCCTAATTGTTTTGGCGGCGGATTTTTCCTAAAAATTTACAGTCTGCTATATAGCCAAAATTTTGCAGGTCCGAACTATCTACCTCAGTCCCATGTTTATGTCAATGATGATCAATGAAGCGGAAAATCACGAATACTGTATGGATAGTATGCGTACCGTAATCAATGGCAGCGCAGCGGTGTCCAAAGAATTATTTGATGATTTCCGAGAAGCTTTCCCTTATGTAGAAAATATCATCACCAGTAGGTTGTTTTTCTTCATTGTGTACGGTGAAAAATGTATTTTTTCTAGCTTACGGTATGACCGAAATAGGACAGATTACTAGGACGATGCCCAGTTTGAAATATTCGCCTTCATGTGGAAGGTTGGCGCCAAATCTGTCGCTAAAGGTAGAGATTTACAGCTTTTGTTAACCGCGTACTCCTTTTTTCGTCCGCGCTACCAAGCGAGAGTTTCGCGCTGCGTCCGCTCGCGTAAAATTAGTTTCATCGGTTCGGGTCCGCATGCATGGTCCTCGATTGCGGATGCTAATGCCCGCGCAGAAGGGAGTACGTATTGACACGCACTGTATATATAATAAACAAATAAATAATAAGCAATTTTGTAGACATTCAAGTTAGGAAAAAAATTGATGATACCATTTTTGTGTTCAGATCGTTGACCTTATCACTGGACGTATACTTGGACCAAGGCAAAAAGGAATGATTTATGTGAAAGGAGTTAGTGTAATGTCACCTTACCTGAACAATGATGAAGCGACCAGAGAACAAATTCGAGGGGCTTGGAGAAAAACTGGTAAATATCAACATTTGCGAGTTTTGACCCCTGCTACGAATAACGACCCATTTGCAGGAGATATCGGCTACTATGATGATGCTGAAAATGTTTATCTTGTTGACAAATCTAAGGAAATGATTAAAGTGCACGGCTATCAGGTATCTGGCAAGAATTCTAAACATATGAGATGCCTTTCTTCATGTTTAAATCCTTAAGGTGATACCGTCTGAGCTGGAAACTTTATTAGTTACTCATCCAGGCGTCAACGAAGCTGCTGTAGTTGCAATTGCAGATCAAGAAGCAGGAGAGAGGTAAATATTTATAAGGAAGAGTTTTTGGATTGCTAAAAAAATTTCCATCACCCTCATCCGAAAGTTTCATCAGCGTCATATTTTATGCTAAATTGAACTTACCAAAACTTGTGCTGTAAATGAGGATGTGTAGAATAAAAAAAATAATAAATTCTGAAATCTCTCGCTGCTCTCATTTCTTGTACTTTGCAGACCAGTTGCATTCGTCGTATTGAACAAAGATTTCCCAACGAGCACGGAGAAAATCATGAATTATGTCAATGGTTCGTGAATCTACCTGTTTGCATGATATCTCGAAGTCGTTCAAAAGCCAAGTTTCTTTTGCTCTTTATAACAACAATTTTCAGAACGCGTTGTCCGATATAAGCGTTTAGTGCGGGTGAATATTGCTCAGACTCTTCCTCGTTCACCAAATGGCTCATTGCTTCGACGATTACTTGCCGAAGCTGCTGTACTTAGTGTATGTAGCATGCCGTGAAATTTTCTCAGAACTCCATAGCCTAGGGCGGTGGTTCGGCAGCTAAGCGTTTGCGAGCTCAGTGCGGAGGGCCATCTGCTTTGAAACTCTTCGCTAGATGCGCTCCAGAGCGGAGCTAGAGCCGCGTTCGCAACCGCTTCGCTTACGTATGGAAGCCGACCGCTTTTGGCAATAGATCTAAGAAACTTGAATCGCGTTGATGCGCGCTGAATTGTTTTCATTTTACTTGTATGTGCAAAGTGTATATACCGGGTGCTAATTTCTCACTGTCAAATTATGTAAAAATTTTTATGCTTTAGTGATGTATCATCTGCAAATTCATAAAGCTGCTTTACGACTGAAAGACAAGCACACAGAGATGTAAAACTGAATTATCATAAATTATTTATTCTATCAGAAGAGACAACAAACACAGCATAAAGACTAGCAATAAACAAAAACGAAAAACTATGTCTCAAAGTCTGGATAAGCAACCTAAGTCTGAGTTTTGGAAGCAGTGCTCGAAATGATCTGGCAAAGTTTTCACATCATGAAGATCCAAAGATGGCTGATAAAATCATCTAGAAAATTCTCACTCATTTGAGATTATCCAAGGTGTCCCTGAGAAGTTGGAAGGATTCCACCTGGGAGGTTTGCAACCTACCATTAAAAAATTTTGGGTTCTGTTTTGCGCAAAGTGCCTTTAAGAGAATGCACCATAAGTGATGATTTCTACCGCTCATCGTATACTTCTTTATCCTGCTCTTGTGCTATTTCGTTATATACTTGATGAGCTTGCGAGATAAGGCTAACGTGAGACCTTTATTACACAGGCCTCACCACAAGTATGAGTTACTGTCGCCTTTTGTGGAAGTTTTTAGTTTCGGTAGCAAGCATGTCATGTAGAGCATAAACTCGTTTGAACGTAATGCCACGCAGCACAGGTGCGATAAGGTGAGAATGACTCCTCCAGGGTGAAGGGGGTCACAGTGGTCGCAGCCCCTCCAGGGTGAAGGGTGTTTCACTTGGTAGAGAAATTATAAAATGTCGACGGAATGGGGGGGGGGAAGCCAGGTTGTTTTCTCATCATTTCTTGTAGTCAAAGTTTCATAATTTATTCACCATCACTGGCTATCTTTTTTCTAAAATGTGAACCGATGTGCTGCTGGATTAGCACACAATATATTTCTGACCAGCACCTTGTATTTTTCTAAAATTTCCTTTTCCTTTTTTACATCACCCTGCCTGTTTTTGGAATTACCGTAGAAGATGTGCATGCGAGATCATTTGTTTCGGAAAGAGACAATTTTTAAACATTTACGAACTTTTTTAAAGAAGAAATTCGTAATTTCTGTAGATGAACAGCAACGGCAGCAAGGGAAATGTTTTTAAAACCAATTTGTCTTCCGCTTTCCGAAAATTCATAGTTTGCCTGGAGTCTGATGAAAAAGTGCCTGGTGAAGAGCTTGGGTAGCGATTTGTGGATATTTACGAGTTTTTAGGATAGAAAATCGTAACTTCTGGAGATGAACATCTTGTACGTCGTGATGGTCACCATTGAAACCGTCTCGTCCTCCGCTTTCAGAAAATATATACTTTGCCTGGGCTTCTTCAAAAAAAGTGCCTGGGTGAAGGGTGTCCTAGTGATTTCTGGAGATTTTCGAGTTTTTAACATGAAAAAAATTCATAACTCCTGTAGATAGACATCTTGTACATCGCGATGGTCACCATTGGAACCGTCTCGTTTTCCGCTTTCAGAAAATATATACTTTGTCTGGGGTCCGTCGAAAATAGTGCTGGGTGAAGGGTGGATGAGACTTTTATAATGGGAGTGCTCAAGTAGACGTCTTTTTACAATGGTAAAAAAGCCTGTACTTGAGCACTCCCATTGTAAAAGTCTCACCCACCCTTCACCCAGCACTTTTTTCGACGGACCCCAGACAAAGTATACATTTTCTGAAAGCGGAAAACGAGACGGTTCCAAAGGTGACTATCTCGGTGTACAAGATGTTCGTCTACAGCAGTTATGATTTTTTTTATGTTAAAAACTCGAAAATCTCCAGAAATCACTAGGACGCCCTTCACCCAGGCACTTTTTTTGAAGAAGCCCAGGCAAAGTATATATTTTCTGAAAGCGGAGGAGGAGGTGGTTCCAACGGTGTCCATCAAGGCGTACAAGATATTCATCTCCAGAAGTTACGATTTTTCTATCCTAAAAACTCGTAAATATCCACAAATCGCTACCCAAGCTCTTCACCAGGCACTTTTTCATCAGACTCCAGGCAAACTATGAATTTTCGGAAAGCGGAAGACAAATTGGTTTTAAAAACATTTCCCTTGCTGCCGTTGCTGTTCATCTACAGAATTTACGAATTTTTTCTTTAAAAAAGTTCGTAAATGTTTAAAAATTGTCTCTTTTCGAAACAAATGATCTCGCATGCACATCTTCTACGGTAATTCCAAATACAGGCAGGGTGATGTAAAAAAGGAAAAGGAAATTTTAGAAAAATACAAGGTGCTGGTCAGAAATATATTGTGTGCTAATCCAGCAGCACATCGGTTCACATTTTAGAAAAAAGATAGCCAGTGATGGTGAATAAATTATGAAACTTTGACTACAAGAAATGATGAGAAAACAACCTGGCTTCCCCCCCCCCCCATTCCGTCGACATTTTATAATTTCTCTACCAAGTGAAACACCCTTCACCCTGGAGGGGCTGCGACCACTGTGACCCCCTTCACCCTTGAGGAGTCATTGGGTGGCGGTCAAGAATAACGATAGCTCTGCCAGCCGCCCAGCTGCCAGCTGCTCGAGCGCGCCAGAAGGCCCCGCCTCTTCGCTCTGGACGAGCGCACGCATGGGCATGCGGCGCGGTTTAAAGGACGCGCATCTTATCGACTGATGATTCACCATTTGTTCACGATTCTTACCCAAAATCATATTTTCTCATTGCGATTCGTTTCTCTCGTATTCGTGCAACTTCTTACTTTTACGTGTTTTGCTCTGATTTTTCAGTCTGTCCTCATTTATCATTGTCTCATTCAACCTTTATAGCTTTACCGTGTGTTATATTTCGTATATAGTTGCCAATATTCTCATTTTCACTGATGTTTGATTTTTATAGGATTTTCGTATTTGCGTGGGTGGATTGCGTCATCAACACTCATCAACAATACTTGGTAAGTGCCTAGTGCTTCTTATATTTCTTTTCGTATTTCTTATTTATGTTTCTTGTATTTTGGGTTGTACTGAACACTTTTTCGAAAATATTTTCAGATCATATCCCACATCTCCGACTTTCCCAGCTTCATCCGCAAGTCCAGTTTTTGTTTTTGTTTTTGTTTGTGTATTGTTTTTCTAATTTGTTTGTTGTTTTGTTTTGTTTTTAACATTTTGATTTTGTTGTTGTTCGTTGTTTGTTGTCGGTTGTTGAATACATTGTTTATTAAAAGCTGTATTAACACATTATCAATAACACATGAGTAGGCAATTGTTAATAATCCAAATAGCTTAGGTAGTAGAAAGATGTCTATCAATTTACTTTATTAGTCACAAACTGCGACATCTTTCTACAATACATTGATATCATAGTTGTGCGGGGAATGGGATTGCTTGGGGAAAATTCTTGTTCATAGCGCCTCATCACTGCAAGAATTTTTGCGCGTCTTATCCTGTCCCTCTTCTTCAGTACTTTACCAGTGCGCCTCTGAAAGTTTTACATTTACATACGTCGGGATTCAGTTTTCGATATACCCACCCTTTCCATGCGAATAATCTCTGCTTTAGCTTCTGTGTTGCAGCTGCGCAAGCGTTTTAGCAGCTTGGACATTGACGGGTATTTGCATTTGAGCATCTCTCCGAGCCTTCTAAAGTATTCATAGGTTAGAATGTATAATGCTTTTAGTGCTTACCTATGAAAGGCTTCTGCCGCATTGGTGGTTCTTGTGTCCTCGATTGCCCATTTGTTCCACAAGTTTTTGAAAGGGCCCGAGTACCATGTTGTTTTAAGATAGCGCAAAAATTGGCAACACTTTTCATAAGCTTCATGTGTGCGGTCTAGATCAGGTCCCTCAACAGACGCTTGAGGGAACACCTTCTTTGCTGCAGCTATGGAAGCCCTCTCAAAATCTAACACAACCCTCAGCCTATGGAGTGCCCCATGACGTTCCAATTCTTCTTTGAGCTGCAGGAAGATGAGCTCATACGTCCGCTCCGTCTTCGACGTCGTGATAGCGTACAGCAGCGGCATGTCTACTGTATTGTTACAAATACCATGGACTGTATATAACTGTCCCTTCTTCTTGGTAGCATCAGGCTGCAAGTCATGCACGCCATCCGCTACCAACGCATACAGTCCATGGGTGCGCGCCATCTAGAATTTAACATGTAGTTGTAACATGTAGCTCATGTGCTTTTAGGATCATGTACCTCTATCGTGTCCGCCGAATAGTACATATGCAAACCCGGATTTTGAAATTGGAGGAAGCGTGATCCATCCGAGAGTGCTGCATGCCTCGCTGGAATTGATTCCATCGTGCAACTCGGGTCCTCCAAACTTCTGATGGCCCTTCGTATGGTTCTTTGGCGGGAGCTAAAGCCGTCTTTATGGAAAAAGTACAGCATATCATTTTTTTCTTCTTCGTCTAAATTCACCGTATTTCTGTTGTGGTTCATCATGTGTAGTTCGTTACTTACTATCACCGCAGCATTCATCTATGAAGTCTTGAATGTCGTGCCATGCTTGAAGGGTGCTTCTTCCTGCTAAATTCTTATCGTCACGGATCTTCTTGCATTCTCCGTATACTAGTCGCTCTACTTTATCCTGCGCAGTCTTCACTGGCAAGCATACATGTGGTAAAGCGAAAGGGTCTCCCACGAATTCGTTGTTAATGACCTAAAACTTGACTTAAGCTTTGGCAAGTCTATGAGTATATGGTATATATATACCGGTATCATTGTGTTTGTTCTTTCACTAGCACACCCTCTGCATCGGTACACCTGGTATGTGGAGTTAGTTGTTAAGTGCTCAAAGGTGTAGCACCGTGTTTGCCCTTCATTACAAAGATTGTTAGGCTTTTGGATCGTGGAGCTATTGTTTCTACCTGGAATTGAATATCGCAAGACTGCGTGCTTGCCATGCTGGCTTGGCTCAACAGAAGCATGGAATCTTGACGCAGACAAATCATAGCCACAACGACGACGCTGTGGCCTAGTGCTCCTGGAGCTTGCATCAGTGCTTCCTCTTTCGGCAGTTGAGCTTGTTTCTCCATTCGGATCTGTTTTTGCTGGTGGTTGGGTCGTTTGAGAGCCTACATTGTTTTGATTCGGGATTAAAATATCGCATGTACTCACTCACCCGCAGCTTGATTACTCAGCATTTGCTGCTGCATCTGCATTTGTTGCAAAAGAGCAGCATAGGTTAGCAAATTAAGTTGAAAACTCGGCAGCATATCGTTGTGTGATTGTGCATTGTACTTGCTCTCCTTTTATATAAGCTCATCCTATCAAAGCATGAAGGTCTTGGTGCTTGTGGCAAGCTATAGTGGAGTTACGGTCATGTCAAGTCTGTTTCGCACCTCACATCTAGGTCATATACTGAACTCAACCCTTCTGCCTTGAGGATTTTATGGTAAATCTTGATGACCTCCACTATTTACCTCACTAATCTAAAGATTTAACGAAGGGGCAAGGCATAAATGAAGAAGGATGAATGGAAAGAACTAAGTGATGAATGTGAAAGAGATATCACTGTATTAAAAACGTTCCCAAGCTTTCTGGCATATCACGGATGGGTTCATGTTCTGATTTGACATGACTACCACCGTGAATTTGCTAGATTTACGACTTGGTAAAGCAAACATAATGATATTAAAGCAAACAATTTGATCAAAATTAAGGTGAATAGAAATGTAGTTCTTAGAGAATAGTGTAGCAGTAGAATATGTGAAGAATACTAGTCCAGAATACTATTAAAATGTATAGCGAATACTAGAACGAATACTAGGAGTTAGAATAGTAGGGAATACTAGAATATCAGCAAAAAATAATTAGGATTCGCCTTCATACGAAAAGTTGTCATATATCGTGGACTAATGCGAAGTATAAGGGTACGGTATCGTACGAGAAACTCGTCCGCCGCAATAGGGCGGAGCTTAGAGCGAATGCCTTATTGCCAGTTCATGACCCCGCGCGCGCTTGGCGCCAGCTATCGTTATTCTTGGCATATACCCGGAGTCATTCTCACCTTATCGCACCTGTGATTTTCGATGGACCCCAGACAAAGTATATATTTTCTGAAAGCGGAAAACGAGACGGTTCCAACGGTGACCATCACGATGTACAAGATATCTATCTACAGGAGTTATGAATTTTTTTTATGTTAAAAACTCGAAAATCTCCAGAAATCACTAGGACACCCTTCACCCAGGCACTTTTTTTGAAGAAGCCCAGGCAACGTATATATTTTCTGAAAGCGGAGGAGGAGGCGGTTCCAACGGTATCCATCAAGGCGTACAAGATATTCATCTACAAAAGTTATGAATTTTTACATGTTAAAAACTAGAAAATCTCCTAAAATCACTACTCACACCCGTCACCAAGCACTTTTTTCAACAGACTCCTCCTTTCCTATACATAAACAATTCACGTACAAATATTTCCTTTGCTTAACCTTACCTCACTGTTGATTTTTTTCTCGGCTTTTGGTGAAGGGGATCACCTTGGTCACGGCTCAGGGGTGAAGGGGGGGGGTGAGAAAATTCTCAGACTGTCGCACCTGTGCCACGCAGTATTTAGTATGGTTGACCCCGAGAAAGAAACACAACACGGAACTTGCACAGATGTTTACCTCAAATCTGGGTAAATGAACCGCGACACATTAACAAGGCAACGTAAGAAAATAATTGAGTCAAACATTTCAATTCATTTAATCAGGTAAAAAACGTGGAAAAAACTAGGAGCAAAAACTAGCAAGTAAAAAACAACTACAATTACATTGACTACAACTACAAGCAACTAACAAACAATGATGCAAGCTCGTGAATGTTTTGTTATGCAAACAGCCACTTGAGATAACGAGGAGCGCAAGAAATGCATGGTAAGTTTTATCGCTCAGATTTGAAGCAAAGGATTTCCAAGAATACATTACATGGTGCAAAACTGTTTTATAGAGTCTTTTTGCATGCGCACTGAGAAAACGGGAGCCTGATTGAATGAGAGCGCGTTGATAAAGCACGGGAAAGCAACAAAATGAACAAAACAAAATATAGCAAAGCGATCGCTACCTCCACATGTAATTCCAAGCGCAAGCCCTCAGTTCTCATTTCAGGAACTTTTCATCTTTTTTGTCCTGTCGGGATCTCTGCACAGAAGTCGGAGTAATGGTCTCCGACTGCATCACAGAACGCACATGACATTTTCCTTTCGGTGACCTTTGAATTTTACTCATGTGGTACCTGCAGGGCCAGCCAAATTTTCTCGTTTTCTAGCTTTTCGACCATCATGTATAAGTCATCGATTGCTTACCTATTTTGGTCCATCTCCAACTGCAGAACTGGAATCAGGAGCTCCTCATCGCGTAAGCAAGCTTTCTCTGGTAAATTCAGCAGTTCATCATTCCACTATTTTCTGAGCCGTTCTTCGAAATTCTCACCCGATTCCTGGCTTGTACCTCATTCACTCGCAGCTCATCTGATAACGACGCTTCTCCATACCTATCCCTAGGACTTCGATGTATATTTCGGTTCCGTCCTGGCGTAATTGTGCGCTATCATCTTCTTACTCCAGTTCGACTGCATTGTTTTCTTTTGTCGGGGCTTCTTTGTTGTACGCTAATGCTTGCAAGCTCCATTATCACACCTTGTAACTTATGTTTGTGTTACTATGCGTTAGCGCTTAATTGCAAGCCCAGCCGCCACATAGCAGCATTGTAATGAAATTCATTTTCTCGAACGTTACAAAGGCGCGTCGATATTGCCCTCGGTTGTGACGATAAAGCACGCAATTTGTTCCACGTATCGAATGATTTCGAGACAAAACTTAGTTTTTGGATGACTTGTGGTACTTGATGGTTTCTATCGGAAAAAGCACTTGCGCACTATTGTATGCAGGATGTTATTGCAGGTTCTTATATACGGCAAAATTTGTAAACATGTAATCTCGAATTTGGGTAAAGTTCTTGCACCTATACCAGACCAGTGATTAAGAGTGACAATAGATGATCAACTATGAAATGAAACTGACAAATAAGGCAAAGCTAAAACTAACATCTAAGGGTGAAACTGTATGGACCTTGTCGATGTCGCGATTGTTGTCATTTCTTCCTGCGTTGGTTCAGCAATGCGTAACATGAAAAATGAGATATAGGAAGTTGAGGGAAATGGTGCAGTAGAAGTAGCGTTTGATTACAGCATATTTCGTTACCGTCAAACGCTCATTTTACGAGTGTTGAATGCTATTATGATCAATTTCAATACCAAGGTGCGACATGGTAGAAGGTGAGGGCAAAAGTAAGAGGTCTTTTCGGCTTTTTTATCCCTTCCCGTTCTTTTACAGTAAGAGCATTGAGATTTTGTTGGACAGGAAGTGAACGTAGTTGGCATGCTTAGGGCACTTTTCGCACTTGAGCATTTCCTTTACGCGGTGATCTCCTCCAAAGTTTGTATTACATGCACCTCCATGGTCGAGGATCAAAAGGTGACGTGGGAATGCGTTCTGGAGACGATCTTGAGTTGAGATCAACTGGAAATATGATCCAGCGGGTCTTTCTTCTGTAGTAGGAAACGTTATGGAATAATTTATTATAATTTTGGCAGACTATGGCGACACTTATAACAGATGGTAGTGCGGCACATGCAACTGGAGCAAGCGAGAATTTGAGTTGAGTTCGAGATTTGAGACAGCAAACCAAGAGATGCTTATGCATCATCTAGCCCTGTTTTCCTACGCTAGTGATCAGATTAGCAAACTGTACCGCTTCCAAAGCAATGTTGAAAGATTAAGTGAGATTGCAAGCTCGATAACATGGATGACATATGGCTATGTTGCGAGCTAATGACAAAGGCATTGGCAGAGCGGTTGAGCATGCGAACGGTTTTCAAATCAAGCATGACTTGTATACAACGCAGGATGCTTCACAATGAAAGGAGAATTGAATAATTGTAATATCAAATATAGTACAATACACGCCTTTACCACATGGTTGTCGGTCGCCTGACGTCGCAGCCCGCTAAACGGCGGGGCTATCTTTCTTTTTCTTTCCTCGTTTCCTTTTGCCTAAGCTTCCATTTTCTCTTTTCTTTCCCCAAATTTCTTTCCTTCCATTTTAGCTTAACAGCAAAAGTTCTTCATGCGCTGGAGTTGATTTGTGTGATACTGCGACGCATGCTGATTAGCATGGTCGCAGAAGGATCTCACAATCTACAAAGGAGAAACTGGGCACTCTTCTGCCGTCGCTCTTTTGGTCTCTCCTCTATCACTATTTCCAAGGCTTTTCAGGATTAGCGCCCGAAACCGATGCTGTATGGTTAATATTGCAAATACATGATCTATTCCGGAAACATCAATACGACGTAATATGTCAGTGAGGCAAGATGTGATATAGCTGCGGAGTGATGAGACACGGCGAGGGGTGAGTCTTGGTATCGTCGAAGAAGGCTCACGGAATCGCTGCCATTGAGAAGCCCTCCGCGTGGCTGCGCGAGGCTCTTCTACAAATGCAGAAGTTACTCAAATCACGCTTTATAATGGATGAATCAGCAACAGTGAGGATCCAGCACTCACTTACTGCAATCACTGCCTTACGCCCCGCTCATCAATTTATGTCTTTTCGGAGTTACTACGAACGAAACACTCGAAAAAAGTCACTGAGCACTCAGGCATGTTTAAAGTGACTCTTGGATGGTCAAATTGCCATGCAGTAGAATGGATCGTTTGTCACCACAACCACACGACACCAACACCAATAGCGCAATCGTTTACCCTCAACTCAAACTTGGATGATTAAACTGTCAATTCAGTTAAATACGAAATGATACACGAATAATGAGTGAAGCAAATACATGTGGATGAAAAAATATCAACTGTATGAGAAATGCAAACAGCGCAAAAGGATAGTAACGAAATTCTCATTTAGCGCATGGTACAAGAATGTCCCGCATTGTTTTTGAGTGTTTTTTCCCTTTTTTTCTTTCTTTTGCGCAAAAGGAAAAAATATAAAGAAAAAAGACAGAATGCGAAAAAAACCCATATGAGCAAGCAACAAAAGGAGAGCGCACAAAGGAGCGTTGGAATGAAAATAAGGGCAAGACGATGTCTGCCCTTCCTTATGCATGAGAAGGCAAACTCAGCAAAAACATTACACTCAAAGTTGATTTTCTCAAGACATCAACGCGACTTCTTCGCTACCGTAGCCCGATGGCGACGATAATGTTAATAGTCGTCGACATGCATGTGATTGACCACTGCGTTCAGCGACTTCAACTATTGAGGCTCTGCTGCAGAATGCGAGAAAGGCCTTTGCGCGGCCAAAAATAAACTGTCCTTATACCAGGAAAGAGCGACGTTCATTCGACGATAATCGTCTAGAATTTCTCAGGTGCCTGCTTCGGCGTCTGTTCAGGTTGTAAGGATAATAATCACCTTTTCTCTCGCCCTTGGAACAAGTCTACTGTTGTTAGAACGCCGAGCTGTTTGCTCGCTTTTGCATTCGGCTGAATTAGGTCGGTTAAAGGTGATTATGACTACGACGTTTGCGCATATCTGATTCTCTGGGAGTCGGTAAACCAGGTGCCAGTATGCATCGGTCTGCCGCATTGAAATGGGTCTTACTTGCCGCGGTTGAAGCCTCCTAGGATGTTCGCACGACATCGATGTGCGATAATCAGTCGGCGGTTCACATCACATCTCGAATATTAACACCTTTATTCAACAAGGGTTCATAATCACTTCACTTACACATTAACACTAACACAATTCCCTTTTACTACTATCCTTACCTGAATTACCTGTGTTACCTGTTTCCTTTCCCTGGGTTACGGTCGCTCCGAGGGGGTGTTATTCGTTCGAACCTGCCGGCCCCTTTCGCCCTTTCTTAAGAGCGCTTCGGCTGTGATAGATGCATGTAGATAACGGGATGTTGTTATGAGAATAACACGATGAGATACACATGACTCATGTTGCAAGAACAGAATCTTTCTCATGTTGCAGGAATCATGCATTTCGATTCGTGACACTCTCAGTGGAAATTTCCTTTCTTTTTATCTTTTCCATATTGTTATTGTTACTGTTATACAAGATAAATACAGACAACAGTTGGAGATTTCACACAATCTTGGCATCTCGAAATCGTCGTTGAGCTTATTGGGTTTTAGATCGCACGTTGTCCATTTGCGCAGTCCATTTGCGCCATTGTCTGTTTTATTCATTTCTTTGCTCTGCATAAACAATGTTGTTTACCAATGATTCCAATTTTCTCATGTTGCGTTTATGGTGATAAGGTTACCTCTGCAATATTGAGAAAAGATAAAAAACCATTTCATTACATACGCTAATTCAAGTATATATATGCATTCAGCAAATACCAGCAGTATGACAAGGTATTGATAATACAAAGGCACTTATGGCGAAGCGATTAACACAATGTTGCCTCACAATGTTACCATTTCGAGTTACCGCTTTTGAAAAACTTGCTTGAAGTTTCAATTACTGAAAGGTTACTATCAAAATTACGATTTGTAAAAATTTCCTTACTTTTCAGTTACATTCCCTTTAAAATTCAAACTGTGCCGGGCAGAAGGCAGAGTGGTGGGTGGTGATCTCCTCCCTCCCCGATTGCCTGCAATAATAACAAGCGGTGGTTTCGTTACACAAAGTTGCCAAGTGGTCTGCCCTTCCCAAACTGCGCTCGCATTTATTCGTTTCGATTACCCTTTGCCTTCTTGCCGATACTGTAGGGTACTGCTGGCAAACAGTGGCTCAGTGTTCGCCATTACAAAAAAGACAATTGTGAGGTGGACGTAGGATTACCACGTCTGGTTACCTTGTTGCATAAATTGTTGGTTGCCTTGTTGTTGTGGTGGTTCTGGTTCTGGTGCTTCCATCGGTGGAACGTCTGCTCCGAATTCCGGTTCTGGTGCTAGTTCCCGTAAGTTTCGTGTTCGCTGTTGCCGGTTTGCCACTCCATTTACTGTATCCCGAAATTAAATGCTGTTATATAGGATGTTGTAGCATCCTTTTGAGTTTCTAGTACAATTTTTTTATCGTGTTTCAATTCTGTGTTTTCAGTTTGTTTTCTTTTGCGAGTGAGTCTTTAGTGACAAAATATTACCTTATCAGGTTATGTAAAAATACTAAAGGTTAACGCTTACCACCGAGTAATTGAGGCGCCGGTTGATCCTCGAGAAATTGGTATCTTGGGCTTTTACCATTTCCTTGATTTTGCTTTCGATGGATGGTAGGAGTCCTTGCCATTCAATTGGTGCAGGCGGTTCCGGCTCGGCAAATAATTCGTAATTCGCCCAGTGGCTCCTTTGCCTGTTTTGGCCACGGGGTGGCCTATCCATTTGTGGCTTTTAGTTTTATTCTTACTTTATTCGGCCGATGCACCATGTTCGCAGTGCGAATGTAAAGCGAACTGCACCGAATTTGCGTTAACATTCATAAACATGACCGACAAGAAGAAATTTGGGAAGTTCACGGTATCTAGCAGTAGATGTCTGTCCGCTGCGGTTACACTGTTTACCAGTAGGTTCTGATAGCACAAGGTAATGGGAATTTTGGTAAGTGCTGGGTGCGCTTGGAAGGTGATGACGAGGCTACGGACTAGAACGGCTCTTGTCTTCTGAAAGATATTTATGATACTTTGCACTTCGAGTCTGGTAGAGTTGGCCAATGTGAGCTGCGAGCGTCAGGTCGTAATTGGTGGCTGCCCCGATGTAGATGTGCCGAGTTTGCGGATCGCGCAGTCATCGCCACGAATACCGGTTTTGGAACTTGTAAAGTGCAGATGATGAGGGTAAACCTGTTAAGGCAACCTTTGAAGAGCTCATCTTTGTCCGTGATATCGAGTAAGGATGCCGCTATGACACACATCATCTTGAGATCCACACGACGGAACATAATGTCGACCATATCCTGCAAGTTTTGGGAGAATTTCTTTCCGTTAGCATGGGGTTTTTCCTTTCTTGGTTGCTAAGGTCGGTGCTCTTTCCTTCTTATATCTTGCTACTTTTTAGGATATAGGATGCGGCTGGGAGTTCTAAAAGTGCTGATGTTTCTAGAGTTGTGTGGAGAATTGTAATTGGAACCGCATATAAATGTTCGACCAGCGATAACGAGGCGATTTATTCCAAGGCACGATATATAGGCAGTACAAAAACCATGAATAACACGGAATATCAGCGAATGCGAGAGCTTGACGCGGAGGTTCTCGCGAGCAGACCGTCCTCCGACGGCATTGAAGACCAAGAATGAACTGTTAACGAGCAGCGGGCTCTTCTCCCTGCTCTTCTTAGATCCGAAGCGCTATACGATCGCCCTGTTCGCTTTCTCATGGCTTTCCGAATGCTTACATTCTTGGCGATTGCTCTGCGGCACGCGCCTTCATGAGCACTTCCATTCTACTTCCGCTCCAAAAATCATTATATCCGAAGTCTTCGGGCATCTCACGCGTGCTATGGGTTATACACGTGACGGAGCGTTGGCACGCGCTTGGCTAGCATTAGCATTATAGATTCGGGAATGTAGTAAAGGAGGCGATATGATATGCAGAACTATAATCGTCTAATACCACTCGTTGAAAACCACAAAGATACTGCCACGCGGGAATTCATTGTACACGAGCAAGCAACCTCAAACTTGGGTAATTAAAAAGTCAACAATAAATTCAGTTGAACAGGTAAAAAAGTGATATGAATAAATGAGATCTAAACTACAAAATGTGATGAACTGAGAGAAGGTAAAACTAAAGAGCAAAGCAAATGGCGGAAACAAGCTAATTACAACGGTACTTATATGCATGACTCTATGTCCTCGCTGCAGCTGCGCACGATTTCACAGATGACGACCAAAAAACAATGCATCTGTGCTAGCATTGCCTTCTCCAGAAACTGTGCTACGAGATGATTAACATCTCGCATAGGGAATCTGAGAAGCCTTATCGCAGATCAACACTGAAAACTGAGCATGTTCTTCCTGAATGTGCCGATGGGTCCAATAATGTTGGTCAAATATGAAATGGCCGTAATTATCATTGCTAGTGCATGTAGTTGTAGTCAGTGGAGTCGGAACATCGAGTAGACCATTTTGAAGCTCCGCGAGACGTACTCCGAGGTGTAACACTCTTTACTTGGCTTTTAAATGTTGTTGCATGATAAAGGCAAATGACTACAACTCCAGAGAGTTTCAGGATCGAAGTAGCATGAGATGAAAAACGCAGCTGCATGTGAAGGCCGAATTAGGAAACGAAGCGCAGCAGCGACAATGGTCATTGTATTATATCTGGCTTGACTTCGCAGTCGTAGAATTCTCGTTAGTGATTTTGATAGAGCAAGGTTCTCTAGAATGAGTCAGGTCTGTCTTCCGCGCCCTCCGCAGTCTCTCAGAGGTGGGTACGCCGTTTGCCACTTGACCAACGGCGTAACTGCTTTATCGATATATGCAGATAAACCACACGCAAAACAGATACAATAACAGAATGAAAGTACAGATAGACAATCCTTGACGCTTGACGTTTGTTGGAAGCAGACGACTCGTAGACGAAGCAATTCACAGAAGATGAAGAAGCAGTACTGTCCGAAGACTGCTCATGCCCTTTTGGAAGTAGCGTTTCTTGTTGTGGATCTGCTATGCGATATGCGATCAAACTGCATACTATTCCATGGTTCGCACGTTTGCTTATATTCTTGATATGATATTATGAGATCGCTTTGCGACAGTCTGTCTCAGAGACATACTATGACCGACACCTCCAAGCAGATATGGCATCTTCTGTCCTCATCGCGTATTTGGCTCATATTAGGCGATGGAGAATAAACGTTCAACTTGTTCATGGGCATGGTGTAATGTGAATCATATTCCAATTATGCAAAAACAGCCAGAAGTGCTTTGAGCAAAGAGACCTCTCTCGATATAGAAATGATGGTTGAAGCAACAATATGTCTTTGAAGAGGATAAAAAAAATGAGGAAATTGTGTTACAAGTAGTCATTATGACTGTTAGCTTAATCACGAAAGCATTTATGCAAATTTAGACCTCAGGTTCACGGAATAGCTTTCACCAACTAGTCAGATTAGCTTGACCAGGGTTCACAGCTGAGATTAGACAGAAGCACAGAAAGAGTGCGAATGTGGCTGAGATGTGAACTGAGGCAATGTGTGGCTCGCCGCTTCGAAGACAAAGAGGTGAGTCATAGCCTTGGCGGCGTTCTTCTAAAAACATTCGTGCTACGCAGATGCGAGCGATAAACGATTGTTTTTGGCAGCTTTCAGGGCCCCTTCTTTCGTCGCGACTTTTGTGAAACACGGCGTGCTCATTAATGGTAGGGTCGCGTCATTTAGCTTATAAGCCCCCGAAATGTTGCGAAGAGACGAGTGGAATTTTCTATTGGGGGAAATCCAAAGAGCAACAAATGACAGTCCTTTTATATCAGCGAAAAACGTTGATTCACCATTTCATTTTTCGCACAGATAAACTCCCCGGTAATTTATTGGTACTTCTTGTATTCAGATAACCTTTCAAATAGAGTGCTGGCTACAAAGAGTACGAGATGAATTATGATGCAATTGTGACGTGGGAGTATGTGGAAGTATTGCTGCTTGATGTCCTTTGGAGTGTGGGATTTTCGAAGATAACGAGTCGGCATCGGATTCATAAGGTTCAAAATTAATGTTTTTTCGTTTTAGTTCGCTTTCTACCAGCGCTCGTTCGTGGTCTAATCGTTGAAGTATCAACGGCATCTTCTAAAGTCTGTCGAAAATCGCCATATTTGGTCACGTATTGTTCTAGTATTTGATTTTCTTGCGGGTCCACAAGTATCAGTTTTTGCCATTCATTCCATAAGTGGTAAATGCGGCTACATGTGCGAAAGATGAGTCATGAGTGGACGTGTGACCTTCATAAATATTGAGTAGTTCATCATCACTGAGAGTCTGAAGTTGAGAAAATTGTATACGCTCACTTTGCCTCTTTTATGGCTCGAAGGAGTTGTCGTTTTGCGATGCCGATTAGTTGGCTTGGAGTGTTGGACATCTCGAATTGATATCGTCTTGATCATAGAGCTTCTTGACGTGCGGTCTTTGATTAGGCCGTGGTCGCCATGTTGCGAAGAGACGAGTGGAATACTTTATTGGGGGAAGTCCGAAGAGCAAAAAATGACAGTCCTTTTATATCAGCGAAAAACGTTGATTCACTATTTCATTTAGGATGAATTCGCAATTGACTCAGGCGCTAGACATAACAAAATGCATCTAAATGATATGAATCATTCCTTGACATTTGTCAAGGCAATAATTTCATTGCTATGAGGGATTCGAAATTATCGCACAGATAAAGCGCCAGTACGCCCCTTTCACTATGGTAACTTTTGACGTTAAAGCATGATTTGGAAGCATTGTTTACTATTCAAGGAAGACATTCATCACAGTATTATGACAATGTTTTTGCCATGCTTAATAACTCCTCAAATTTCATCGCATAACAATTCTTGCGTTCCCAATGTGAATTATCGCGAATACGATTATCTATAACCTGACATAAATTCTATCTCGAAAAAGGCTGAAGGATAGCTTACTTGCACAGAGTGCCTTTGCCAATTAATGTCTTACGAGGTTCGAATATACCGAGTATAAATTGTGGTCACTTAAAAATGTATATAGAAAATTTCGATTAACAGCAGAGAATTATTTAAAAAATGTATTAACTTGCAAAAAGTTTTCTCTACATGCCGGCTATCATTCAAAAGTATAAAATAGGAATTCTGAGAATCAGCGATCTAGTGGTAAATTGAAAAGTCGCAATCTTGCGATTATCTTTGCAAGGTTGTTTGAAGAAATCACTTCGCAACTCTAAATTGAGGAGGAAGTCTGGTAGGATGCGGGTTGAGTCGTTTGGTTACTTTTATTAGGTTGAACACTAAGTTTTGCAACTTGTTTCATAACTTCACTCTCATTCAACATGGCGCACTCAAACTTTGGCATCATGCAGAATGCAATGTGAGCTACAAGTGAGCACAAATTGTCTGAATTTTGAACAAGAAATAGAAAAGTTTCAGGCATTTTTCGAAAACTAGTAAAATTTGAGAATTTTTGAGGTTTCAAGCTAAAATGAAGCCTTTGGCAGCCTAGACCATGCGCAGTAATTCGGATTCGTCTACAAATTATTGCAAGAGGTTGACTCCTTTGGCTTAGCAAGAAAGAAACAAAATTTATGGGCATGTCGAGATTTGGCGTCCTCATAAAGTCGAACGAGTCGATGACGCAAGAGCTGCTGGGGACGACCGTCAATGACTAAAGAGTCCGAAGCTCAAATTCCGCCGAGACTTCACATAGTAAGGTTATTTGACCTGCCGAATGCGAATATCATATTCATTTGTTGAATAAACGCCTTTTTCCTTGTTTTGTTTAACCCCATATCGTACACCTACAGTAATCCTACAAAAAAGCCCTTATCACGCAATTTCACTATCGCTTTCGTGATCAGCATGTCGGATAACATCCCTATGCCAAGTTTCAGCCAAATCCGTCAAACTTTGAATTTTTCCCCTTCATATCATACACCTAACGTAACCCTCACTGCGACGTCAGAATTTGGTAGGACAGCAGTTGCGCTTGTAGTATACATAATGACCAACACAGTGGCAAAATTTGAGTGCACCATGTTGAGTGAGAGGGAAGTTATGAGAGAAGTGAGAGAAGAAGAAACTTAGTGTTCAATCTAATACCTGACGAAATTTGTAAGTGGTTTGAAAAAATTGACGGATCTTCTGAACCGACCTAATAAATCGGTAATAGCCAAGAGGTACTGAAACTGAATGGAAATCGAACTGGGAAATGAGAAAATCAAATTGGTTCATAAGCTCCGCACCAACATTTTGAAAAAAACGATTTCTTCCATTTTCAAAGAACTTTCCTTTTTTAAATTTTTGAAAAAGAGATTCTATATAACCTTGAAAAAGGTTAAAGTTTGCATAGTGAACGTAAGCCTAAATGTAGAAGTATTTGAAAGTTGTTATCGCTCGTGAATTGCCCGTTGTTAGAACAATGCCTCTGTTGCCGCGCACTCGGTCTACTAGTTGAAGCTAGATTTCTTTGAAGCACTCGTTATTTCCGCAACTGCCCATCTTCTATTCGAATTTCTTTTTCCTCTGTCATTGTCTTCTGTTGAAGAATGCTGTTTGCTGACCACAGTGTAAAGAGCCTTGCGGTTGCAATGCATACCGAGAGATAAGAATATCAAATTGATCCATAGGTTCCACATCCACGTTTCGAAAAATCGCGATTTCTTTCATTTCCAAGGACTCCTCTTTCTAAAATTTTTGGAATAGAGATTCTAGATGATCTAGAAAAATGTCAAAGTTTGCATAATGGGCACAAGCCTATAAGTAGAAGTTTTTGAAATTTGTATAGTTATCGCACATAAATTCCCCGTTGTGGAGACAATGCTTCCGTCTCTGTCTCTTCGGTCTGTTAGTTGGAGTTCGATTTCTTTAAAGCCCTCGTTTCCGTAATTACCGAATCTCCTGTTCAAGTTTCTTTTCCTCCCTCATTGTCTTCTGTAGAAGAATGCTCTCCGCTTTTACCACAGTGCAAAGACCCTTGCCGTAGCAATGTATCGCATTGTTCAGTCATACTGTATTTAGCATTTAAGTTATCGTAATGAGAAGCTATGAAATCGTTGAGATCTCTTGCACTGAAAATTGAGTAAGTGACTTATTAGTCAGAATAGAAGAGAAAATGTATACGTTACAAAGTATTTTCTCTTTCACGGAGATTTTTTGGAAACGTGAGCGCATTGCACATCAAGGCGGAAAAACGAAAAACATCAATGTCATCTTTTTACTCCATCGCAGCGCGTTGAGGCATCCGTGGACGAGTTTACAAGGCAAGGCTACCACCAAATGTAAGTTTCAAATCGCCAAAAGTCATATTCCATGGATCAACAAAGATGTTTATTTGTGAAACTAGTCCATGGAAGTCGCTATTATATGTAGTTTACAGCCCTCATTTTTCTTGAACCAATTCGACTTTGGCTGTCTCAGAAAAGGATAGTTTGCTCATCCTCTGATTGGGTTAACATCCTGACATCGATATTGTTTGTGTCTAAATGGATCAATTATAGGACACTCAGTATTGAGGCATAGACTGACAGAATCATTAATATTCTTGAATTCCATGAAGAGAATACTGTTCTTATTGACTGGGTTTTCTGTAAAGTTCCATATGGTTGGTTACAAAGGTGACACTCAAACTGTGTTCCTGCTTTGAGACCTGTTTCACAAACCTGAAAACTTTTTCGATTACATTGATGAATTATCAAAGCTTTGGGTCATTTTCGTCCGAGAACAAGTCATTTTATCCTGATTTAGATATGCAGATCTCATGCCCTGTCTTTCAAATTTCTGGTATCAAAAAAGTGTAAGCAATGACGGGGTGATTAGCCACATGTTTGGGAGTCAAACCATTAACTGAACCAACCAAGGAGGAGCGAACATAGGATACCCAGAAATTAACATGGGTATACAGTTGTCGAGTGAATGGCCTCTTGTTCCTTACTCGAAGTTCAAACCTTGGAAATCAAACATTTTATTCGACAAAATGTGATGAGGTGTTTCTTCCACGTCTGTATGGTCAGTGGATTGCACAATGTGGAAGTAAAGATACTGTAGCAAGCTGTGGCCAGTTAATCAGTGAGAGTACTTCTTCCGCTCTGCTAGCCATAGTATAGGACGTCCGCGCTGCGCACGGAGAGCAACGCTGTTGCGTACATTGAAGGCAGTTCACGACTGGAAGAAGCGCAGAGAAAAACAGGCGGCGAGAGTGCACGAAAAAAGAGGAGTGACGCGCAATACACACCTTGCGCACTCTCCGCGCCGTGCGCGGACGGCATATAACTGAGGCTGCGTAAACGATTTCCTTTAAAAGCGTCGCAAAAATTCTCCGCAACTAGCTTCTTTAGTCCACTCTTTGCTACAAAATCTCATTTTTCAAATGGAATACAGTGAAACACTCACTGATTTTTAGCTTGGAGATGCTCGTTTGTAAAAAGTTTAGACGCCAGTACAATAGGTAGAAGTGCCCTCGAATATAGATTTTTATAGGTTATCAGATCGCAGTTCACAAGTTCACAGGTTCATTTTATAATATTTCGAATTCAGTAAATTAAATAGAACACGGGCGCCATGAAAAGTGATAAGAGAATAAGGTGAAGGTGAAGGCGAAGCGATGAAACTGCTCGCCTATTCTTCACAGATGAAGAAGTGAATCATAGCCGTGGCAATTGTTTCGAATCATTCGCGCTATTCAGATGAGTAATATGCAATTGTTTGCATTCTTTTGGTTCGTTCATTCCCCTCCCGCGTCTGGTCGATCATTTAGGTCGCTCCCATCTTTCCAGCAGATGGTGAAGAAACCCGTGGTCGAGAAAGCAGTAGAACACCAGGACCAAGTAGATTCTACCCCGATCACGACTGTGCTTCAACGTCAAGCGATGTGCCACCGGAGAAACAAGAAGAATCAAAGCGCAGAGAAGAACTTTATCATGCGTGCGAGCATTGACAATAGAGCACGTATCACAGTTGGGTGCCACATATTGTAAAAGATAGATTGGCAAGTAAATCTTTAAACCTTTTATTCATGAATAACGAATTCCGAAATTCTTCACAAAAACAAAGCTAGTAACAAAAATTTGTATGCGTTTGTGAGCTCGCTAAAAATTCGAAAATTGGCCTAAGATGTTCCAAATTTTCGATCGCTACACCGTTTCACTCCAAGAAATCTGATCCCGCTTTCCTCCTGCTAATTTTGCTGAGACTGTCTATTTTACGGGGAACATCCCTACTTCCAGCATTGGTCCGAAGCATTCTGAATAGGTGATCTTTTTCAAATAGGCTTTACTTTTTTTGGGCTTCACCTGTCAGATGGCATGGCAGAATAGTTCATACAGTGCATCCTTTTTCTCATGGCTTGATATTTTTACCTAGAAACGTTTTAACACAACCTTTAAACCAGAAAAACCAGTAGTGCAATTTTACACCTCTGCTGCAGAAAATCCTAATATTTCTAGTGCATACCTGCAGAAAAAGTCCTGTAAATGTCATTTTACAGCCTAGGCCAGTGACCGTTTGCTCTTTTGACATTTTTGAATAACTTACTCTGCATTTCACAAAATTCTTCGACAAAATAGCTACATTTGGCAGTTCCAATCAGTAACTGAGAATGGTAGAAAAGAAGGAGTTAATGACTGGAAATGAGTCCCCCAAATGATAGGGCCAAGCTGAATATGGATGTGAATAGTAGGTTTTGATGAGCTGCGGTGCTCAACTGATTTGGTTTTGTTGAAGGTGTTCATTTGGATTCATCATTATTGTTTTTGAATTCTACCACCATCTGCTTTATGAAGGGGTTTGAGATGTCTGGCTTTCTTACATGGTAAAGCATTTTAAAAGATAAATGAAAAGAAGTAAAATAAAAACTAAGAAGTTTGTGGGGGTATACCTATCTACTGCAAATGGAATGCACTTTGAATTTGTTGAATACCATACAAAGCTTGTATTTGCTCCTGATGCGTCACTAAAAGTTCAGCGATTATTTCGCGGTCTCAATAAAGCTCATTGGGTAAGGTTTATTTCGCCTACCTGAGGAATCTCCACGGACTTTCAAAGTCTTTTTCAGATAATCTGTACAGGATCAAGGGATCAAGCCGAAGGCTATCCATTTTTAAATGATCTTCAGTTCGTCGGTAAATAGTATATTCTGTAAAGACTTTTCTGTTGAATTTTTCTTTTTTCAGCCAAACTAGGTGTGATTTTGCCACGAATTCAACCCAAGCTCGATATTGTATATATGCCATACTCCAGTGAATTCATGGAAATCGAAGAAGAATCCTCACATGGCATTATGTGGTGAATGCGAAGATCGTAGATGCGCCCAAGTGAATTGTTCTCGGAGTTGAAAGTTATTTTAGAATTATTTGATTTTCTCGAGCTAGTCACCACTGCTATGTTCAACCTGTCCGAAAGAATCCACTGTGGCTGTGTTGGCCATCTATAGACAGCTGGACCTCGAAGCAATTTTCCCGCTTACGGTACGGTATTTACCGTGTCAAAATTTTGTATACATACGCTTATGACTTGTATCGATCCATTTAAGGTTACTTGAGTCATTCACAGAAAATTATTATTTTGGATTTTCATGATAATTATTGATTTTTTATCTGATAAACTGTATTCATCGTACTATTATGGATTATCTGTGTTTATTCGAAGTTATGACCATGCCGCAGTATTCACGACATCCACTCGCGAGTACTATATCATGGTCCTAATTGTTGAAATGCATTTTTCTTCAGAATTCTATAATCTCCTTATCAGCCAATCGTTAAGGTCCGAACTATCTACCTCAGCCCTATGATTATGCAAATGATGTTAAATGAAGCGGAAAATCACGAATACTGTATGTTTAGTATGCGTACCGCAATCAGCGGGAGCGCAGCTGTTTCGGAAGAGCTATGCGATACTATTTCAGCAAATATTACGAGAAACTATTTTTACTTTCCAGATCTTATTGACCTTGTCACTGGACGTATACTCTGACCTAAGCAACCAGGCATGATTTATGTGAAGAGAATTAGTGTAATGTCACCTTACCTGAACAATGGCGGACCGACCAGAGAACAAATCCGAGGGGCATGAAGAAACTGGCAAGCAACATTTTTTTGGTTTTTTCTCCGGGGTAAAAAACAAATGCAGGAGATATCGGCTATATGACGATGCTGAGAATGTTTATCTTGTTGATTATTTACTTATTTATATGATACGCACAAGGCGTGCCCATTTAACAGAGAAACTAAGCATCACATTGAACAACAGCAACAAAAAAAACAGGCGAACACCCCACTGAATCAGCTCAAGTCCAGCCCGCAAAATCTTTTCTGGGGATAGAAAGGGAGTGAGCTTGTTTAGACGAATATGAAGTCATCACAGGTATAGAAGTTCGATGGAGTCTCTCTCATGCCCCCTGCTCTTAGCAAAAATGCTCTTATTCAAACATAAGCAACTGTATATGTTGGAAGCAGGTGTTTTGGTAGTAATATTGGTAAAACCCGCCCAACCAAACTCTGGGGAGAGAACAGAACTCCGATAGAAGAGATTGCACAATGCAAAAGTTTCAAGTCCAAACAAGCTAACCCAAACATCAAGGAAGTGATGAAATGGAACCAGATTGATTTAAGGAAATGATCAAAGTGCATGGCTACCCGTATGTTCGTCCCTCATTCAAACTTACAAGGGAACCGTGTCGAGTCGAAGTGGCCTTTCCAGATGAGACCCATACTGCTTTGAAGAGTATTAAGCGTTGATTCCAAATTTGCCTTCCAAATCTGCCAAGCGCCTCTAGGCGCCGAGTTATGACCGTTCTTCGGAACAAAAAATGAATGCAGAATTTGAGTAAAATTGATTGTTACAATCTTTCCAGCGCTCAGATAAAGCAATGTTAAGTATTAGCATAATAAATAAAACGTATCCATTGCATAAACAGCTCTGGTACTTGACATTGGACCATTTGAGCAAATTTGGGCGATTTTGCTTCAGTTTTGCGCTCAATTTTTTGACCTGAAAAACGAGCATAACTCAGCGTCCAGAGGCGCTTGGCAGATTTGGAAAGCAGATTTGGAATCACCGATTGATGCTCTTCAAAGCAGTATGGGTCCCATCTGGAAAGGCCACTTCGACTCGACACTGATCCTTTGTTAGCACATACTGCCTCTTTTCTTATCTAGAACGCGATTTAGGTAATTCCATTGGAACTCGAAATTGCTAGTTACACACCCAAGCGTCAACGAAGCCGCAGTGGTTGCAACTGCAGATCAAGAAGCAGGAAAGAGGTAATGCTGTTATTCGTAATGAAAAATCAGTCAGTTATGAAAAGGGAAGAATCAGATTAGAGCTAATTTCTCATTGAAGCATGCCACTGTAGTATCACTGAAGGTATTTTTAATCAAGGTTCCCTTCATTTTCTCTGAAGCTAATATCGTTATAGTATTCGGCATTGATAGAAGTCGTAACCACTCAAAATTAGGGCGAGAGGAGACAATAAATTTTATGATCACCAAATTGATCTCGCTGAACATTATTATTAGGGTGCTACAAAAGTAATGGGGCACCAAAAGAATAAATGCAGTTTTCTCAAACAGAAAATCTAAGTGGAAGTCCAAGTTTTGACAGACTTTAGTATATAGCAAAACCTTCTGATCGAGGTCCATAGATGGGCACTGTCACATGGCGTTACTTTTATAAGCGCTCAAAATTAAACCTCATCACTTCAAGTAATTTTAAACTTTGAGCAGCATCGTCGCAGTAAAACAACTAAGCCTACCAAAGATATCTGCGCAGCAATGGGTGAGAGGACTGTCGCCAAATTCATGAAGCTGGTGGTCTTAACGCTTTAGAACAGAAGATGTAGCCTTGGGTTATAGGAATATTATTTATTCTCTCAAGGTAATCAAATGAGCTCACCCTCGACAGTTGTTATCTGATAGAGCTTCTTAAGCTCTATCCATATGAACGCAATTTACCTTAACTTTTCTCATTTTCAAAAAATTGTAAGGCAAAACATGATTTCTAGCCTAAAAATCTGCGTCAAACATCACACTTTCGAATAAAGTGCCTCCTTTATACAAGCTAATGGAGAATTTTAGTACATTCAAGTAAATACTAAAAAGAGCTTGGAAAGCATTTCGATTGATATGCTCATATGTCTAGGGACTCTGGGGCACTCACACGAATTCGGATGGCGTTCAAGAAAAGTCCGCCTGGGTTCTTCGAAGCGCCGCTCCAAGGAGTGTGAGTGAGGTGCTGCAAGATACTCTTAGGATCACCCGCGAAGTCCACTTTGTCTAAAAGCGTTCAAACTGCTAGTCGTTCATAGTTGAACAGAAAGGAACCTCAAAAAAAAACCAAAAATCAAAGTACCCATTACTTTTGGGTTACCTTGATAAAACAAAAGTTGCTATAACGAAAGAGTGGAATTAAAAAATAATCAAAGTCAAATTGATCTCTCTGCTCTCATTTCTTGTGCTTTGCAGGCCAGTTGCATTCGTTGTGCTAAACAAAGATTTTTCAACAAGTATAAAGGAAATTATGGAGTACGTCAATGGTTTGTGAACTTTTTACTCATACTTTTCTGCATTATCTATAAACTTCTTTTTTTACCGTATGCTGACAGTTCTTCAGAATGCGTCGTCCGATACAAGTGCTTGTGCGGGTGAATGTTGCTGAGACTCTTCCTCGTTCTCCAAATGGCTCACCGCTTCGGCGATTGCTTGCTGAAGCAGCTGTGTTTAGTGCATGTAATATGCCTTGAATATTCTTCCCACGAATACGGGATTCACAAATTAGCAGATCTTAGTTCACAGATTCAGTTTTCATTCGAACTGTCCGATTCGCAGAATAAAGCGAGTAGCATTAAGGTGATCCATGAGAAGTGGTAGGTGAATAATGTAAAGTCGAAGTGAAGCAAAGAGATTGCTTATTCGCATAGTGAATCATAGCATTGGCAGCTTTGTTTCGAATCATTCGCGTTATGCAGGTGAGTAATATGCGATTGTTTGCTTTGCTGTTTTTTCCGCTCTTCAGCGAATCGCTCTACGATTTCAATTCTAAAATGTGATATTTTATTTTCATAAACTCTAATGTGTCAGAAGACACTAAGTAGACACTCAGGATCTCGCATGAGCGGTATTTGTTACGGGCTCGAGCCACCTCAAGAGGATATCTAAAGGGTATAACCTGTTTAGGGAAGGGAACAAAACGGAGTTAGCATATAATTTAAAGGGTAAAGACATAGCCTCTCACGGTCAATCGAAGCATTTCCGCGGTACAAGAGAATGAAAATGAAAAAGAAAGAAGAAAAAAGAGATTTTGCGCAGAGAAAGAGAAAATGCGTGCATTGCAAAGTGTTCCCTCTTTTACTGTAATGTTTTAGATAGAAGTAACGTGAGCGCTGAAGACGAAAGCAGAAAAACGAAAACAACCAGCGTCTTCTTTTAGCACTGCGATATCGCCGTTCTGGCATCCGTAGAAGAGTTTAGAAGACAAAGCTACAACAAGAACTGTAACTTTTAGATAGTTCTGATTGTCTGTATTGATGTGAGTCATTGACTCCATACGTTTGTCACTTACTGCAACCAATGACACTTCCTTCCATATCGGAGTTTCTCCTTGTGTTTCGTCGAATGCATTACTTGTGCTATGGACAGTCCTTTTCGACTCCTTGGCAATCAAGTCACTTGGTGAGCATGGCAGGATGCCGCTAGCCAATTGGTTGTACATAACACAAGATCGCGAATTAGTCAGATGACAAATTTTGATGTGCAGGACCCAAATCGGGTCTCCCATCTTATTGTAAAGCAGTGAGCCATGATCACAAACATTGAAGAGCACTGATGCCTTGCAAGCCCTTTCTAATAACCGTGTGAATACTGCTGCATGATAGGGCGGAGAAAACTTGGAGAGTTGCCATGTTATAATTTTTTGATTTCAACAAAGATGCGCTGTTGAAAATGACTGCGGGTTACTCGGCTCTTAAGTTTGCGTATATGGCTGCTAATTCCGCCGATTATTGAAAGTATGTGATTTTTGGATTGTGTGCTAAATTGCCATATTAACTCCGATCTGGAATACAGTCTTGTGATTCAAGTACTTGCTGAGACGGCAGACAATAAAAAGCATGTAAAAGTTCATCACCATTGCATTCAGCATTTTTGCAATCTGGTCTTGACGCAACTCAGAATAATTCGCAATGTTTTTTTTTGTTGGGTTAAGGCCGAATGTCAGGTTCCATGTGTTAGCAAAGAAGATCCTATCTATTCATGTGCTCCATGGCAGCCCAGCGATTGTCGTTGGACACATACAACTAGTCATTTTCCGTTGTCCAATTTGACAGAATTTCTTTGTCTCAGGAACCGAGAGAGCCCATCCTTTTGTTTGTTCGACATCCTGGAGTCTGTTTTGATTGTATTTGAACAGCCTTTACAGCATATTTCAGAAAATAGCCAATGGTGGACGTGGATCTTATATTCTTGAGTTTCATCTTTGCAGCAAAACGCGGTTCCCTTGATCTTGTATCCACTAAGGGATTTATGCCTTTGGTTACACAAGAGAGACGAAGAAATTTCTTCATTACATATGCTGATCCTTAGAAGGTGTTTTATTTTTATCGGCAGAGAAGTCGCTTTCCTGAGAGTCCTGACATGTTGTTCTCAAGTCCCATCTCTTTTTAAAATGACTGAACTTGTCGAAGAGGGTGTAAACAAGGACGGAATATCATTATCTTTTATCGTTTATCTTTACGCACATTATGTGCACATTAACAGACAGAAACCGAACGGTTAGTACTTAACGTACTCGCCATACCATTACTGGCATAAAATTTTCAGTAGATAAGAGGTTCACCCAAATCCTGCTCCAAGAGCAATATTTCAAGCGTTTTGTCTCCAATCTGGGAGTTAAAGCCGTTAAATACAAGCAACAAGGAAGACAAAACGCAGGAAATGCAATATATCATTGTGGGTGAGCATCAAATGGCGTTTTTTTCAATCAAACATAGTTTCTAGCTTGAATATCCAAACATATTCCGTGTTCGTTGAGATATGAATGATGATGATGTGCTCCATCCACATCTGTATGTTCAACGTCCTCAAATTTCCACACTCAATGTCGAGTTGATTGATTTAAAGTTTTTCTTGAACGACTGTTCCCTGCTTCAAGTGTTTTTGATCTTATTTGGCCGTAAACGAAAGGTTAATATAACTGTGTAGTTTATCTGTCGCTCTCCCGAGATAACCAACTGGACTGATCTCACCTTCAGCGATGGAGATCAAATTGTCGAACTCGATTGTGGATCGCATGTGGAAACAAAGCTATTGTGGGAAGCTTGTGTCGGTTTTTTGAGGGAAGTTACCTGGTTCGGTTTGCTAGCCATGAGAGTCGATGCTGCGTGAACTTTCCTTAACTGCGTTGTCGAAATTCTTCGCTAGTAGCTCCATTTTAGCAGCCACCCGTTTGGCGCGAGATCTTATTTTTCAAATTTGTCTAGAGATTCGAAAACACTTGCTGAATCTCAGCATGGAAATGTTCGTTTGTTAGGAGTCTAGACGCTAGACCAGGTGGAAGTGCCCACGAATATAGGTTTTTAGATTACCAAATCTCAGTTCAGAAGTTCGCAGATTCATAGTAGATTAGTCCGAATTTACTAATCAACCTGAGTAGAAGTTCATGTGATTGACGAAAAGTGATAAGTGAATAACGTGAATGTAAAGTGAGGCGATGAAATGATCCCTATTCTTCACAAATGAAGAAATGAATCACAGCCGTGCCAGTTTGTTTCGAATCATTCGCGTCATGCAGATGAATAATAAGCAATTGTTTGCATTCTTTTCGCTGTTTTGTTCCGCTCTTCAGCGATTCGCTCTACGATTTCAATTCTAAGCCATTATATTTTATTTTCATAAACTGTAAGTGTCAGAAGACACCAAATAGACACTCACAAGGAAAGTATACTTAGTCGAAAGCACCAATCCAGATGAAACATAAATCATCTTAAAGCGCTTGAAACGCTGGTTCCAAATCTGCAGTTTCTAGCTGCGGAGCGGTTTTGTAGAAGGAGTTATGAAGGGTGCTCCGCTCTGGGATTTAGGCGTCCTCCAGCGGTCTCCCCTTATCTGTAAGCACTGTAGAGGAGTATCAGCTGATGGCAACTGACCTAATGGTAAGTAACTTGAATGAAGATTACAGTAAAGATTGTAATATTCATATTACTCTAGTTTTTTTAACACTTCTAACTTCGATTAGTATCCATATCTTTAGAAGTTTCATGCTTTAGGGCTCTAAAGCCATTTAGAAGTTCAATTTAGCATGCGAAGACGATTAAAACCTTGACAATCTCTTTATCAAGCACGTCACTTACCACTAGGTCAGTTGCCACAATTGGTACTCCTCTACAGTGCTCATAGGTAGGGGGAGACCTGGTAGAGGGCGCCTCAACCTCAGAGGAAACACCCCTCATAACTCCCTCTACAAAACCGCTCCGCAGCTAGAAACTGCAGATTTAGAATCAGCGTTTCAAGCGCTCTAAGATGGTATATGCCTCATCTGGATTGGTGCTTTCGACTAAGTATCCTCTCCTTGTCAGAATTTCGCACGAGTGGCATTAAGACAGGCTCGATGTCACTTCAAGAGGATATTTGTAGGGTATAACTCGTCTAAGGAAGGTAACAAGTTAGCATTTATCATAATTTATAGGGTAAAGACTTAGTTGACCTTCTAACATATATCGTTATTGTAGTACACATATTCTGAGTTTCCATTTTCAACAAAGGCGATGTACCTATAGAAATAGAGCCAGACTTACATACAGACATTCTTGGGATTGGTATGTAACATCAAACAGCCAGAGCTTCATGCGCAAGCGTTTTTGATTCATAGAGTTACGATAATTACAAGGAAAACCATAGTCTTTCAGTTGTTTAGCAATTTTTATGAAATCCCTAATTTCAGTTCTCACTAAACTCAGCCTTGCCTCCCATCGCTTTTCAAGCATACAAACATCAAAACAATATCTTTGTAATCAGCATCATCAGCAATTTTCCATAACCGATTTTGGGTGAATTTTCTAGAGATGGTCGAAAACATATAAGTTGGAGAAATTGACAATATGGTCCAAAAGGGTTTTACTATGTACCAGTCAAACAAATCAGTGCGAACATAAGTAAGAATAAATTGAGTACCAACTAGAAATGCTGAAAGAAAAAGAAGAAAAAAATCAAATTAATCTACAATTCCTGTAAATCTATAATTAATGTAAATCATTGTAAATCGTTCATTACCCTCCCGCGTCTGCTCGATCATTTTGGTCGCTCCCATCTTACCAGCAGATGGCGAAGAAACCCTTGGCCCAAGGACCCTTAGAACACCAGAAACAAGTAGATGCCACCCCGATCACGACTGTGCTTCAATGCCAAGCGATGTGCCACCGGAGAAACAAGAATAACCAAGGCGCAGAGAAGAACTTCATCATGCATGGGAACATCGAAAATAGAGCACGGATCACAGTTGGGTGCCACATATTGTAAAATATAGGTTGGCAAGTAAATCTTCAAATCTTTTACCCATAAATAACAAATTCCAAAATTCTTCACAAAAACAAAGCTCGTAACAAAAATTTTTATAGGCTTCTGAGTTTGCTTATGAGTTTGTGAGCTCGCTAAAAATTCGAAAATTGCTCTAACATGTCCCAAATTTTCGGTCACTACATCGTTTCACTCCGAAATATCTGTCTCTCCTCTCTTCGTGCAAATTTTGCTGAGACTATCTATTTTACCGGGAACATCCCTACTTCCAGCGTTGGTCCTAAACGCTCTGAATAGGTGATCTTTTTTAGATAGGTTTTGCGTTTTTTGGGCTTCAGCATCTAGGGCTTTGTTCAGAAAAGGAATTACTGTCAGATGGCATGGCAGAATAGTTCATGCAGTTCACCCTCTTCTTTAAGTGGCTTGATATTTTTAGCTAGAAACGTCATAACGCAATCTTTGCAGAGAAATAGTGCAGTAGTGCAATTTTCACCTTTGTTGCAGAAAATCGTCATATTTCTAGCACTTACATGCAGATTCTGTAAATGTCATCCTACACAATGGACCAGTGATCGTTTGCTCTTTCGACATTTTTAAATAATTTACTCTCCATTTTTTCACAAACTTCTGCATCAAAATAGCTACATTTGGTACTTCCAATCAGTTATTGAGAATTTGAGAAAAGAAGGAGTTAGTGACTGGAAATGAATTGCCAAAGTGATAGGGCCAAGTTGACTATGGCTGTGAATAGTAGGTTTTGATGAGCTATTGTGCTTACCCGAAATTGGCTTTGTTGAAGGTGTTCATTTGGATTCATAATAATTGTTTTTGTATTCTTCCACCATCTGCTTCATGAAGGGATTTGAGATGTCTGGCTCTCTTAATGGTAAAGCATTTGAAAAGATAAATGAAAAGAACTAAAATAGAAACTAAAAATTTTGTGGAATATATTTATCTATTGCGGATGAAATGCATGTCTAAGTTGTTGAATCCAATACAAGGCTTGTATTTGCTGATCCTGATGCGTTATTAGAAGTTCAGCGATTAATTCGCGGTTTAATAAAGTTCATTAGGCAGGTTTTTTCGTCTCCCTGGAAAATCTCCACTGACTTTCAGAGTCTTTTTCAACTAATCTGTGCAGGATCAAGGGATCAAGCCGAGGGCTATCAAATTTTGAATGATCTTCAGTTTCCGGTAGATATTATTTTTTGAGAAAACTTATCTATTAAATTTTTCTTTTTTCAGCCAGCCTAGGTGTAATTTATGAGGATCGTGCGCCGCGTTCGCAACTGCTTTGTTGTCGTAATGCCGACCCCTCTCGGCATTAGACCTAAAATGTTGAATCGCGTTGATCGTCAAACTGTTTATTGTTTTGTTTGTATGTGCAAAGTGTACATATCGAGTGCCAAATCCTCACTGTCAAATGATTTATAAATTGTTGTGCATAGGGACAAACAAGTATTGAAAAATCAAAAACTTAAACGTGGCTCATAATGCTTTTGCAACATTAGGAGTCTAATGGTATGAATATGTTCAGGACTTACGACTGAAAAACAAGCACACAAGGAGGTAAAACGGTTTTTTCTTATGAAAAGAACAACAACAGGCTTTAAGGCCAACAACAAACAAAAACGAGAAAAACTGTACCTTGAAATCTGGGTAAACAACTTATTATATTTCAGTGCTGGGCGCCGCGCATGAAATGGCCAGCCGGGCTTATTGTCATGAACTTGCAAACCTCCATATCATGAAGATTCAAAATCAATGGCTCGGCAAATCCTCGATCTGAAAAAAAATTCTTGCTCATCTGGACATCCAATGCGCTGATCAAAATCCACCTTATAGCTTGAGAGAAAATGCTTTCCAAGCCCCCTAGTTTTCGATTTAGACACTTGAAACAGGTCCCGCTAAAGTTGGAGAGCAAAGTCGTTGCGGAACCTCATGGTATAAGAACAGCAGCTTCTCCGGTGTTAGGAGGGCGTACGAAATTGGCTTGCGCACTGAACTTGCTTTTGATTCATGTTTGGGAGCGTGCAATCCTATCATAACAGAATCCAGGATTTTCGGTTTTGCGGAACCGCCTTTGAAAAGAAAATTAAGCACATGTTAGTGATGGTTCTCGACGCCCGTCGTAATCTTTTTTATTTTGTTATTCTTGTCCCAATGTCGTTGCATACTTTACATGATAAGGCTAAAGTGAGACATTTTATTCCACAAACCTCGCTCCAAGTCTGTTTGCTGCCGCCCTTTGTGAAGGATTTAGTTTTTGTAGCAAGCTTGTAGCGCTAAAGCATAAAGTGGTTTAAACGTAATGCCACGCGGTGTAGTATGGTTGACCACCAGAAAGAATATACAACACGGAACCTGCACAATCGTTCACCTCAAGACTGGATAATTGATCCCAACACATTAATGATCAAGACAATGTACGAAAATAAGTAAACCAAATATGTGCATCTTCTTTCAATCAGATAAAAGACATGGCGTAAAATAGGCGCAAAATACAGGTAATAATGACAAATAGTGATATAAGCGTTTGAATGTTTTTTGTGCGAACAACCTCCTGGGGATAAGAGGACCGCAAGAAGTAATGTGAATTTTCCCACATTCAAGGCAAAGGATCTTAAGCAACACATTGCGTGGTCAAAACTGTTTGAGTAGGGTCTTTTGACTAACGCATTCAGAGAAAAACGAAAACATATTGAATGACAGCGCATTGATAAAGAACTGAAAACCAACAAAATAAATGAAAAGCAAAGCGATCGCTACCTCTACCCAGCGCAAGCACGGCATTACATTAAAGGCATTGTATGCTGTAGCAGCGCATTGTATCTAGCCACCCGCTGTTACCAGTAAGTGTTGGGCCCTCACTT